TCTCTTTGTCATGGGGATTATTCTACAAGCTTTGTGAGAGTCAGTCTACATCGTCATGGTAACCACAGAACATTGTATTTGATAGTTGCAAAGCCCTGTACATCATATTTTCCCCTTCCATAGTACATACCCCTTCCCCACTTTATCCAAACTCAATTATTTAGGAGACAGTACTTCTATTTTCAGAGCTAACTACTTCATTTCTCTTATTCTGCTTCCTTGGTCATTTTTGTGGACCCTTTCATAAATGAAAGAACATCTGTGTGAGGTCCACTGTGGTCATGAAGTTAGGGATTGTGCTGGAGTCACATCCCCCATCTTCCCCTGCTTTGAAGGGTCCATTGCAAATGAAATATTGAGGGTCAACTCTATTTCTGTGACCTGTAGAAACAGGAGAAAAGGACAGGTGTGGAACAGGGGAGACACTGATTAAACCAAGATCGACATTGTTAAGAAATTTATTTGCAATTCTTTTTTGCGTTTTTGTTTGTTTTTTAAATAACATCATTCCTTAGATAAAAATGCAATCTTACAGGAATATACAGTAGCGTCTCACACAGAGATGGACCCTGAAGCTCTCCTTGAAGGTTTTCCCTTCTAGATTCCCTGGCCTTGCTCGAGGGGAGAAGGCGCAGCAGGCAGGGCCTTTGACAACAGGGTTATTTGATGATTACAAACTGTACAACAATATTTACAACAGTCAGACTGTGGTGTCGTGGAGCCTGGAGGGGCAGGTGTGGGGTGTGCAGGCGTATATGAGTGACATAGAAGCCTCTCTGGGAACAGGCATGGCACATGACACAGGTTTTCTCGGGGACATAAAAGTGGGCTGAATAGACACATGGAGAGGTGGGGGTGGCATCTGCTTTATGTGGACCCTTTACATGGAGGGAAGTTTTCCTTAGCAACAATGGCAGATTAAAGTAGAACTGCGGTGTTATGAGAGAGGCAGACACTGAAGTGTTCACCCCTGGGGATCTACCACCCTATTTCTCAATGACTTCTTTCCCACAGGTTGTTCTTAACTGCTATCATCACAGATGTGTGTAAACCCAGCTGTTACCCTGCCATTCAGGCTTTGTTCAGGGCTGTGAGCAAAGAGCACATGTCCGAGCAGGGCAGGGCAGATGGATGCATGGTCTGGTAGGAAGGCTGAGAGGTGGATTTCAAGTCTAGAGAAAGGGATGCAGATGTGGAAGTGTGCTGTATGGTGAACAGAAAGGTGCCCTTAGCTCACGAGTCACTATGATGCCTTCCAAAGGGCCCTGGGCAGGCATTGCTTGCTTACAAATCACCTGTCCTCAATTCCCAAGGGTTCTCTCCTGCTTTTACCTTTGGTGTAGTTCTCCTGCTAGGAAGTCTTAGGAGGCAGAGGCTTTTTAAAATAAAACCTAAAGTGCTTGCCCAGCCTGCACAAGGAAGGTCCTTGGTTCAATCCCCCAGTACCATCACACCGATCCCCCCAAATGAAAAAGAAAATGACCCTCTGATTCCCTATAGCCTCTGCCTCCCCAAACTGTCTCTGTAGTGACCTTGCTGAGTGGTGCATGAAGGAAGCTGTAGGTCGCAAATTTGCATTGACTGACTCATTTACGCTGGAGTGAGTCGCATGCCAACCTGTTCTGTAGCCTTTATACAACAAATCATTTAGATGCTGGGAAACTGGGGTGCATAGGATTTTCCATGGGGATGAGGGGTTGCAACTCCAAAGCAGTGAGCATCTGAGACAGTTTGGCTCTGGTGATAAAACATTTCACTTTTCATTGCATTTTTCCTGGCTTTGTCTTCCTTATAGCTAGCAGAGACCGAAGAGAAATGCAACAGGAAAAAAAAAATCTCAATTCAGACTTTACATTCAGTATTTGAATTGCTTTGCAGTGCTCAATATATCCAGCTCGATATATCCTTCCAGAGATAGGATAGCAGGTCTTCCTCACATGCCAGGAAGACAAGGTTTATATCATATATTATATGGGACCAAACCTCTTAAGACTGTTGGAGGCAAAGGGAGAGTTTAAGAGTGGTAGCATCTCCTCACTGTAGTAAAACTGTCACCATTTTCACCCATGGCAACTGTTCTAGTTTCTTCCACGTGTTCCTCTTCCAAGGTGTTCAGTGTTTTTCCATTATAATAAGGCATCACCTACAAATGTGCTGTGTCACATTCATAGCTGTTCAGGGACACAGAGTCACAGACTCAACAGGCTGAACATGCCTACTACAGTCCTTCTCTCCTGTGGGGAAAAACACTATGTGGCCATCGTCTCAGCCCTTGTGCCTTAGGGTGTGTGTGAGTGTGTGTGAGTGTGAGTGTGTGTGAGTGTGAATGTGTGTGTGTGTGTGTGTGTGATTCAACTGCCTCCCTAACAAGGTGAAGATATGGCATAAAAACAAAACGAAACAAAACACTTTAAGACTCTGCAAAATGGTTCCTTTCACCTCTGTGTTCCATTCACTGGGTTTGCAGAGGAGGGGGAGTGGGGGAAGAAGAGGAGGAGGAGTGAAATGCTAAAGAAGGGGAATGTACTGACATCATAGGTGGGGTGCTTTTACCCTCACAGCCTTCAGGACGCCTCTCCCCACAGCAGCTGCTGTAGAACATGGACTTCCGGTGAGTGAGACCCAAGCTCCGCCAACGATTTCCCCATTGGCACATTCTTTGGCCAGATGCAGTGGAGGGGCCTCACGTGTCCAGGTAAGGACGACATCTCTCTAGCTAGGCTGATTTAGCTGGAAGAAAAAAACACCTAGGGCAGGAATTTACTTTTCACAACTTCCAAAGCAGATCATGGCGCCATCAGCCTTTGCCAGGGCTGGACCACACAGAAGCTGCTTTCCATGCGATGGGATAACACAGATGGGATCAGGACATGCCTTTTCCTCACCCCCACAGCCCTCTAGTTCTCTCTGTGCTGACGCCTGCTTCAGAGCCAGGGCTTTGCTGAAGAGCAGAATCAGCCAGGACACTTACAGCACATTTTGCCTTTCCTGGGCTCTGAGTAGCTCTTCTGAAAGCCAGACAGTCCTTCCTTAGGCCCTAGCTCAATTGTTACTAGCTCCTGAGTGAGGGCATTTCAATCACTCAGGGTGCCAGGATGGAGGGGCCTTCCTTCCCCTTGGTGACATTTGAAATGTGGCATGGGAAAGCTAAAAGCCCTGAAGACCAGATTGGACTCCATGCTTGACCTGGATTCTTGCCCTCTTGGCCTGCCATCTGGGGGAGGTGGAGTGCATCTCCTGGTCTCTGTACAACTCCTTCTACTGATTTCCAGGGTTCTCAGAAATGTGTGGATTTGGGCAAAGGAAGGGCTGCCTGCTGTGTTCAGTTAGGGTCTCTGGAGCTCTGGATGGTTGAGAACTGTAAGAAAGAAACAGACCTTCGCTTCATAGTACCCGCAATAGGGCACCAGAGGAAGGTAAAAGGCAGAGTTGGGCCTTGGATTCCCAAACATGTTAAGAAGGATGGGAACCATGATAATAGAGAAAAGATTTACAAACAAGGACTAGGAAAACCTCTCTCCTTTAACCTGATGATATGAAGAACCTTCTAGGACCAGGCAGAAAGAAACCAACTGGACTTTGTATAAGTCCTCCCACACTTAGAGATCGGAAATAAAAGAAAAAGCTAGTCATAGGACAGATGAAAGTACATGGCCTATGCTCCTTCATGTCCCTTTGGTCCCCAGCTGCAGCCTAATTCTCCTGACATTCAGGAACTCTCAGGCTTGCAGAAGGCCTGATAATCATGTTCAAAACAGTCATTGGGAAAATTCCATGTTGGGTGGAGAGTAGACTGTCTGGCATAGATGTTCACTGGCTTTTCTATGCACTGTTCCCCTCTGTCCTGGTGACAGGCAGCATGTGTCAATCTTATTCAGGTGGTCATGAAGCTAAGCACGAAAAACCCACTGACCACTGAACCTCCTTTCCTTCTAGCAACCAAGGGTGGGGCCCATTGTCCCTGATGATGCCATTCTTGCAGGGTGCAGTGTATGAGTGAATGGCTACTCTGGTCTTCTTTGTCATAAAGGAGAAGGCAGCCTGTGGGTATGACTGGTGCTGGGGGGTTCAGGGAACCACACTGGGCAGAGGCCTGACAGGAGCTGTAGGAGCTTGGCCTGTAGCTTATGTCATTGGTCAGTAGACTCTGACAATGCAGATCAAAGCTTCCAAAGGAAACCAAGGCAGCACGAGTATGCAGAATATGCATGTCTGTATGTAGGAGCAATCAAAACACCACACTTCCCTAGTGGTCAGATGCATACAAGAGCCAGACAGCCAGTCAGAGGGCTCCCATCTCCAACATCACAATAGTCATATCCACACAGTCATAGAACTTTGTGCAAACAAGACAAAGGATGCCATCTACTCTATATATCTAGAAGCTGTTATGGGTACTGCGAAGGGTACATACACGCCGGGTTAATGGCACACAGACATCCAAGGAGAAAGCTGTTTCTAGACTCTGGCTACCCTGTGGACACTGGGCACTTCTCTTTGCATTTTCACGAAACAGCCCATGACAGCAGATTTGTCACCCTTGTCTGGGCTTTGGCTATCTGTGTTTGGGTAGGTCATGTGTCAAAGACGAATCTGTCCTACCACTGCCACAGTGTGATTGTCACCTCATCCTCTCAGTTGGGACCTGTGCTGTGGGAGTGTTTCGGAAAGCCAGCCACCTCCACAGGCGCATCCTGGACACGTATCCACAGAGAACGGCAGAAGGCAGCAAGTGAAAATCCGGGTGAAACATGTCCTGATCTTGCAAAGCAAGATGTAGCACTGACTATCTTACCGCCTGCTTTTGGAAAGATATTGAGGGAAATGGAAACAAAACACAGGATATGCAAAATGGTACCTCCCTTACCTGCCAGTGGAGAGCAGAGTGAGGGCTGACACCAGGGATACCTTTGTTCACTTTGCAAACGAAAGAAAACCATCTCCTCCCCAACCACACGTAGAAAAAGCACTTACGAGTTCAAAGGTAAAGCTTGTCACACTCCAAATACAAAATGATTTACTTTACATGCAGCAAAATATACAAGAAGTGAATTTTAAAACAAACTTAAGTCATTATATTTGCTTGGCACAATTGCAATTCAGTTTTTAAAAAAATATTTGAAAAATACTGAAACTGACCTGAATTCAAGTATAACAGTTTCTTCAACAGAAACATTATCAATGCAATAAAACATTACACAGAATATATCGAAGCAAAATGTCTTCTTGAGTTTTTCCCTTAAATTTTGTGTTTTTTTTTAAAATAGAATTTTAATGCTGACACAACTCACAATCGTATTTTAAAATGGATATTATTGCATTGCTTTTGCATATCTCGTGGGACAGGAAATGCAGTTACCGAGTCTCGTTTCAGAAGCAGAAGCAGAGACAGTGATTTGTTTTTGCTTTCGAACAGCCCCAGATTCAGAGCTCCCTGCAGTCAAACCGGAACGGGGATCTATGGACTTTTGTGCAGGGGTGGGAGTGGGGGGTGGATGGGGTGTGCACTCACCATGTGGGTGCACACACGCACAGACAACCCACTATGGACACACGTGTGATACACAGATACTCATACATCCTCTCTCTTGAACCTACCATACGTCCAGCTTAGAACGGAGCCCAGCTCAACCGCCCAGGCACGCAACACCTTAACTGCCTGTTACCTGCAGATTGTGACGCTCAACCCAACCAGAAAGAAAGAGGGGAAAAGGTGCTGTTACTTAAGGAAATTGTAACAGGTTACTGGGCATACACAGAACAGGTAAACCGTCCTGTGGTGACATTGAGCCTTCGCTCCATGGGTGGAAAAAGGTGTGGGGGAGAAAACCGCACCATTTAAAAAATACAATAAAACCAAATCCGACTTAAATAACGCAAACGTGGAAACAGTGAGTGAGGCTGCGCAACTGTAAACGCTCTTCTTCCTCCCTTCCCCGTGGGAAAGCACAGCAAATAAAAAATAAAGAAACCAAAACCCAGAAAACCGCAACATGCTAACAAGAACCACCAAACCATGAAATCAAGATTACTAGGCAGCAGCCCGCGCCCCTGGCCTGGCTAGCTGAGGGCGGATGGTGTGGTCTGCACTGGCTCTAGCCACCTGCACTTCAGCTCCTGCAGGGGAAGGGGGACCAGGCCTGCACTGCTGGGAACCTTGCAGCCACCTCCCCAGCCCCTACACGGGGCGCTGGCCTACTCCCGCCATACATCCCTGGATCCCTGCTCCATTGAGACGGCCAGGCTCAGACAGAACATGTGCAAATGACTGTTTATACAAGCAAGGGAAAAACACCCTTTTGCTTAGGGGGTGGGGTCCTTTGGGCGGTGCTGCCGCGGGAAGGTGCTGGAGCCCTGCACCACGGCCTTGGCCTTCTCCCCTGAAAAGCCGACTCCGCACACCGCCCAGCTCTGAGGCTTGTCCCGACAGCAGTGAATGAAGACGCTGTTCCGGTTACCTCCAGGTCACGAGAACAGTGAGGCACTTCTGAAACGAACCCATTAGGAACATTGAAACGAATAAAAAACACCCGCGTCTTGCCAGCCCTGTGGACTACAGGTTGCTGACGAAGGCCCTGCTGTCCGGGAGCGCCTCCTCGCTCCGGCCTCGCCCCAGGGCGTATGCGCAGCTCTCGTCCTCTGGGACCACAGCCCTGTCCAGCCCCGGGTCCCTGCAGTTCACAAAAGGTAGGAGGGTGCCGTTGGGGCTCTGCTGGGCGTCCCCACTGAGGATGTTGTCTGCAGCATTCTCCATCTCTTCTATTGTCATGTCACAGGCGTCAGCCAACTCCTGGGTGGTGACTTCGATGAACTTGGGATCTTGAGCAAACTGTCCCAGTCCTTCTGAAATCAAGACCTGAAAAGGCGGGGCAAGAAGACAGAAGAGGGGCGTGGTCACTGGCGTTCCAAGCTCCCTAAGGATGCAGTCCCAGGCTGCTGCGAAGCAGAGCATCTGTGTGTACACAACATGTGCATGTGGGTATGTGTGTACAGATGCGTGTGTGCATGCATGTGTGGATGTGTACCTAAGTGTGCATGTGCGTATGTCTGTATTTGTGTGCTAAGAGGGACACTCAGAGGAGAGTAGAGCTGGGACATGCACACATCAGAGGAGGGAGATTTAGGCTGGAGAGCTCAAACACTGTCCTGTCACCAAATGAGGAACTTGCAGAGGGGCTGTGGACTCTGCTCTGCTTTTCCGCAGGCAGATCGTAGTCTGCCTTTTCTTTTCTCCTCTCTGGCCCCCCAAGCCCTCTTTCATGTTGTTAACCACTGCCCCCACCCCTGGCCAGCTGTTCGACTCTCCAGGGCTCCTTGTGTAGGATGCATGCTCTGCTTTTGTTTGGGAGGGCTGCAGGTGACCACCATGTGTCCACCCTTCGGGCTGGCTGCTTTAGTGACTAGTTAGAAGGAAGATTACTAAGTCTCTGAGCCAAGGGGTACAATATGGCAGTCAGGGTGGTCTCTTTTTTCTCCCATGCCCCTGTTCCTTCCCCTCTTCCCGAGTCTCTCTCTCCTCACCGTGTCTGACCTTTCTACTCTACCCTGACTGTTCTGGCCACCTTACTTTTTCATCTGTTTGTCCTCGCCACCACAGTGGGAGCTCATGAGAGCTGAAACTCATTTTCCCAGAGGTCTCACTATTCCTATAGGGTCCGCACCTAGGAGTCTCCGAGATGTTTGAGATGAGTAAGGACAATCAAGTCAAGTGAAGAGTTAGTGTTTCCGAGTTGGAAGGACCAGATGATGGGACTGGACTCCACTCCCGGGTCCATCTGACCACAGGACAGATGCAGCCTCAGCTTGATGTGTCCAGTGATGGAGACTGACTCCCTTTCAAGCCTCTTTCCTGGGGAGAGCGTGTTGGCGAGGTCTCCCCCCCACCAGTTCTCCTAGGAGATGGTTTCTCAGGACCTTGCCACACTCACTGGGGTTTGTTTCAGTTTGTCAAAGGCCCCTAAAATGTGGTGTTAGGGTTGGAATCGATGCTCTTCAGGGACAGGGGACCCGTGACACTAAAATCTCTAAAGGAGGAACAAAAGCCAAGCAGAAAAAGTGCTACCTTACACTTGGCCACTCACACAATAGTCGCTGGGAGCCCTGAAAATGCCAGTTTCCTCTGGCAAGCTTCCAAAGCTCCGGGGAGCTGTTCTCCTGAGCAGTCAGAGTTGAGCACACTGAACCCTGGCCCTCCTTCTAGGAACAAGCCCAGCACGCAGCAGCGTGGGGGGCAGCAGGGCCTTTCTTAGGGTTCCCTGGCCTCTACCTGACTAAGGGCTTTCTCCCTGCCCATCACACTCAGTAGCCATCATCTTGTAGAGTCACTGTTGTGATTTTCTGCAGGCCATGCCTTCCTTCAGCAGCTCTCTAGGTGACACACTTGGGGAGGAGCCAGGCTTCCTCCTCTCTTGTTCCCTGGGGCCCCTCCCTCCCCAGGAGCCCACATACCGCTTCTACCAGGCTGCTGGCGCTGCCATGGAATTGTCTCCCTGGAGCTCCAGCCTGGCTGGGCACGGTGAGGGAGACGGGCCGGGCTCTCCGGGCCGTGCTGCTGCCCCCACTACAGGCAGTGGTCTCATCAGACCAGGAGCTGCAGTGGATGGATGGGAAGCTGCTGTTGAGTTTCTCGCTGGACTCTGCCCCCTCCAGCCGTAGGGTGGGGATGGGCTGTAGGGGCCTGCCCCGGCTGCCTGGAGTGACAGGAGGGGTGGGGCATGGCCTGGGGAACTTGGTAGGAGAATGGCTTCTCTGCAGGAGGGGGCTCAAACCTGCCACCGCCAAAGCCTGTGGACGTAAGAAAAGGAGTTACTAAGAGGGCTCGCTCAGCCCTCTGCCTTCTGAGTAACTTTGAAGCTAATGTTTTCCAGTGAGCTCTGTCTAGAATTCTCAAAGCCCAAACAAATCCTGTCTACCTCACTGAGACCTGGTGTAGGATTCAATAATATCCAGCAATATTTTAGTGAGCATTTCCTTCTGACACGAGGCATTTCCCTCTAGCCTCAGGACCTTACAACTGAGTGCAGTCCGGATCATCCACTGAGTAGATTGGCTCTGCCATCCATATTCTCTGGAGTCAGTCACTCCGGCTTTCCCATTAGGCAGAGAGGACAATGATGACGTGTTCTCCGCAGAGTCAGAATTCGCCAGTGCCCTCTCATGCACTGACCTATAGGCCAGTGTGAAGTCAAGGGAAATAAGGCTTTTGAGGTACAGTGTCTATCATAAAGTCCCAGACAAAACCAGTAGTCATTATTTTAACTTTTACAGTGAAATAGGCCCGCTCACAACACCCTGTCAATCTCAAGCTGGGCGCTCTGACTCCTGTTTAACACCAGACTGATTAACGATTCCCGTGTCTGCCTTCTCTATCGCCAAAGTTCCAGAGAGGGTAACCCTGCATTCCCACTGTCCGAGACTCTCTCGCACTGTCCACTGCTCAGATGTCATGTGTTTGTTGAAAAGAATGACACTGTGTTAGCAACAGTCACCTCTGGGAGACAAAGAACAGGTTGGAGGTGGCAAAGGGACTCAAAGAGAAACCTCATTTTCCACAGATGGGCACAAAGACAGATGGACAAAACCAACTTGGAGAAAGCTTTTTAAATAGAACATATAGTGTCCCTACATCCTGCTTTTCTTCCTTCTCCCCAGCTTCTGGGTGCCTGGAAATCTAAGGGAAGCGTAAAACTATGTTCATTATGTTGGAAAGTTCATGACAATAATCCTTATTTAGACAGTGCTTTGACATCAGTTTATAACACACATTTGTGCGCATGTGCCCACGCATATAAACATATGCACACATGCTGACTACATGCTGACATACATATATACACATGCACACACACACACTCACTCACATTGAAAGCACATGTCCTAAGGGAGTTTGGAATTACAAAGGTAAACTGGGGAGCTGAGGTTTAGATCCCCATTTGCTGCAGGCAGTGATTGGCGGTAGCCTGAAGTTTCTACTTGCTCTACACTACCAAGAGTGAGTGTGACACTGGTGTTTTCACTTCTCAGCTCTGCCATGCTAGGATAGATTTGCTCTAACTGGTCTCCCAGGCCCTGTCTCCTTGGGGACCATTCCCTACTCTTCCCCCCTCCAACCCCGCCTATCCTTACTAGTCTCAAACTTTCCATCCCCTTGCCTTAGCCTCTTGAATGCTGTGATTGGAAGCATGACCACCATGTCTAGCATTCCCTACTCTTAACCATGCTGCCATCATTTCTGCACTGCAGTGGGCAGACAGCTGCCGAGTGCAGTTCTCAGGTCCCATAAACCCTAGGCCTGACTACATCTGATTCAGAGAGTATAGCATAAGGCAGTGTGTTTGGGAGGGATATCTGCCAGCTGTAAGGAGAAAGCTGGAGAGCCCTGAAGCTTCCAGGTAGAATCACAAAAGGAACTCTCACTGGGATGTCATGTAGACCAGCCTTTCAGTGTCACTGTGGTATCTGCAGAGCAGAGGATGGCCCTACCCAGGGGGGCTGATGTGCAGCTGTGTGAAGAGGGAAGACAGAAGGGTTTCTGGGATCTGCTGTCTTCCTAGAGAGGTATGGCTTGTGGCCTGTGCACAGGTGTTAATACCTGATGATGAACCAGATGCAAGGGCAAGGCTGTCTTCTGAGAGATGTCTCCCCCCTGATCCTTTTGTCTCTTCAGACATTCCAGGTGGAAGGAGGCCCTTCGACCTGCGAAGCAAGCGAAGGACTAGAATCAGGACATAGGTGATGGCGCTGGCCCGTGATGGCTCTGATGCATTTTAGATCACATCTACCTAGGGCCGTGTATTAAAGGCTTAGTCCCCAGTTTGGTACCTCTGAGAGGTTGGTTTAATATCTAAAAAAAGCAAAGCCTCAGGGGAGGTTTCTGCCTTTGGCGATGTGTCTTTGAAGGAGATCATGGGACACTGGTCTCTTTTCCTCCTTTATATTCATGGCCTGGAGGCAAAGGGCACATTTCCCATCATGATGCCACAGGCCCCAAAGTGATGAGCTGAGCTTCCAAAACTGCGAGCCCAAATCCATCTTTCTTGTTTTTAAGCTGATCATCTCGGGTGTTTTATTACAGTGACAGAAAGTTAACTGAAAGAGGCTTATTCTCAGGTGAGGTACGAGGGTTGGTGCTACCGGTCCCAAGCTCATTTTATGCCTCAGCTTATCTCTTAGGCATCTGAGTAGCCAATGTCTAAGTCCCATTCCAACAAACTCTGTCCTTGGAGAGCTATCTTGTGGAATAATCTTTTTGTACACTGTGAAGATGTGTCTTTGCCAAGGTCCTTCTGATTGGTTTAATAAAGAGCAGAATGGCCAATAGCTAGGCAGGAAGAAGTTAGGAGGGACTTCTGGGCAGAGAGAGGAGTTGAATCTAGAAGTCAGGGAGATCCCAGAGTAGATGGAGAGAGAGAACAGGGCATTCAGGAGGAGAGGTAAAAGCTATGAGCCACATGGCAGCATGTAGATGAACAGAAATGGGTTAACTTACGCTATAAGAGCTAGTTAGAAACAAGCTTAAGCTGAAGCCAAACTTTCATAATTAAGAAGTCTTTGTGTCATGATTTGGAGGCTGATGGCCCAAGAAAGCCTGCTACATTATCTTGTCACTCTGCATGTCTACAAGCCCATCTCTAGAGGCTGCTTAGGTGAGGCTCAAGTTTCTCAGTTGTCCCTTGGTGCCTGATAATTGCCATCTTGGAGGTTTATACTCTCTATGTCTCCAGAGCAACATGTGAGTTTACCTAGAGAGGCGGAACGAAGGAAGCCCCTCTTCGGAGACTGCTGGATCTCTCTCCTATCCTCCTCTGGAGATGGCAGTTGCCGGTTTTCATCATCCTGATAGGAGAGTCTGGAACAGAGAACACTTGGCGCTTGTTCCTGAAGGCTGAGAGGCACCACCCACCAGGACAGCTGCTATTCCCAGAAACCAGTTTCTGTTTTCCTTACTAAAGGAAATGCCCATCTGTGTGCCTATACTATAGGTATGGGGAACGGGAAAGCAGGGTGTGCTAAGAAACCTGGGTCTGCTCTCAGGCAGTGTAGTTGTTTCATAGGCTTGCTTGTTGGGGGTCCCGGCTCTTGATACATATCCTGTACAGGGCCCTAGTAGTTGATTTTTGTTTTTTTTTTGTTTTTGTTTTTGTTTTGTTTTTTTTCAGGTGGGCAGAGGATTGGAATTCAAGGCCTCATGCATGCTAGATAAGTACTGTAACATTATCTTATCCCTGAGCCTTGCATTTCTGATTTCAGTCAGTGGAGGCGCTCTTGAGTACAGAGAAAGTTGGAAGAAGAATTCTAGGCCCCCAAACATTCTCTTAGAAGTACCTTAGATGCCTGCCTGTCTTTACCTAGTAGGTCTATGCTGTTCACTATGGTCATTCTCAATGCTCCCGCAATATCTCCATCCCTCCAATTCTTCCCTGCCCGACTATCCCTTCACTATCAAAAGCACGTAAGTAAGCCACTGCCTGTAGCAATCCTGCAACCAAACAGTCAGCAGACGCAGGACAGTGGCAGCAATTAATGCAGTGGTTCTCAGCCTTCCTAATGCTGAAATTCTTTAATACAGTTTTTCACATTGGTTGTGGTGACCCCAACCATAAAATTATCTTCATTGCCACTTCAAAAGTGTAATTTTGCTACTGTTATGAATCATAATGTAAATATCTATGTTTTCCAATGGTCTTAGGTGAATCCCAAAGGGGCCGTGACCCACGCACGGGTTGAAAACAACCTCCTAGGGCCTCTAGTTGAGGACTTCTAAACTTTTTGATGGTGACTAACAATGAAAAATATATTATACATATCCCCAGTATCATAGACATACTTAGCCACTTTTGCATGCACCACTCTCTGATTATTTCTATACTACTTTAGTTGGGATTATTTTTTTTCATTGACAGCTGGCTATTACCCACTGAAGTAACTTCATGACCCTCCACTGATCAGTCTTCAGTTTGAGAAGCACAGTTGTATTCCAATCCTCAGTGATGTAGATCAGATTTCAGACTGTTACTACTAAAACCCTTGTTAAGTCTGCCTTTTCATTTTCTTGCAGCACTGAGGACGGAACACAGGTCTGTGAGCATGCCATGAAATCACCCTACCACTGAACTATGCTTGAAGCCTATTCCTCTGACTCTACCCCTGCAACCGATCATGGTGATTCTAGGAATGTATATGTACGGGAAGTTTGGGACATGGGAATCTCATGTTCTTACTCTGCCAAGCCTTGTTTCCATCCCCAACTAAATAACTCTTCCCTAGTACATCGTCTTCTTGCTCTGTTGACTCCTTACTTGCGGACTTGGCTTCTGCTTGACCTGGTACACAACTCCAGATATGATGCTGTTGGGTTTGTTCTGTATGTCTGTCTGTTCCCCATGGCATTGGTACCACTCCGTGGGTAGTTGCTTAGAAAGGTCCACATTGTCTCCCTCTTTTGCGATCGCTTCCTAACTACTTATCAAAATCTCCTGGATTCAAAGCTGGATCTTTTTGGAGTTAGGCAAGTATTTAGTAAGTACCAGAATCTCTCCATCTGGGCCTTTAACTTTAAGGGCCAGAGAAGCTGGTGCACAGCAAAGCACTTTCTGGAACGTGAAGGGTGTCTGCAGCAGATAAATATCTTACAAGGAGCCTAGAGACCCATATACTTAAACACAATTTGCTTTTGCAGTAATTTTCTGTTGTCTTCTGTTGTTGTGTTTTATTTATTTACATCAATTATTATTAACTGACCTGCATATTTATGAGGCATGGTGTGACCATTTCACATATGTAGATAATGTGAAATGACTAAGTCTGGGCAGTTAATGCCCATTTCCTTAGACAGTCAAGTTTGCTGACTGATGTGTAATAGCACAGTTTGTCAGGTGCACTGGGATAGTTCAACAGGTATGGACAGTATGTAATAAACGCCTCCATCTTTATACATTACATTGTGTCAGCATTTCTGCTGATATATTCATAAAATATATGCTGATCCAATTCTTAAGAGTACTGGTCCTAGCCAGGTGGTGGCAGCATATGCCTTTAATACCAGCATTTGGGAGGCAGAAGCAAGGAGATCTCTCTGAGTTCTAGGACAGCCAGGGCTACACAGAGAAACCCTGTCTCGAAAGAACCAAAACCCAACCCAACCCAAACCAAACCAAAAAGCATTGGTCCTTCTCACCAGATGGACATTATAGCCACCCAGAGATCTAGATGGAAGCTAAATATTCCTAAGAGGACTTAACTAGCATCCCAAGGCATACCAACTGTGCCTCTTCAGGGCAGACTTAAAAGAAGCTGTCCCATACACGTTCATTTAAGCATAGTCTATGTATACTGACTCACACTAAGAAATACACCCATGACTTGATCACAGTCTCATAGTTTAAAAGGTTTCCTGGAAGTGTTCTGCAGTGAGGCAAGCCAAGTCACACAGGGAGTCCTGGGCAGGTGCTACTGATATGCCATTGTCTGGTCCAGAGGAGGGGTCCCTCCCTTTCCTACACTTAGGGTCGCCTGGGCAGGAGGCTTACATATCTGTGGAGAGCAGGCTGGGCTCACTGCAGTACTCAGCGTCCTCACTCATCCTCACACTGCAGGTCTCTTCTGGAAACATCTCTTGACTCACCGAGGCCCCCTGGCTCCCTCGGGAGTGACACCTGCAGCATCCAGAGTGGAGAAAGGTATTACCATCTTCCAGCCCTCCTGCCTCTTCCTCAGCAAGGAAGATGACACTGGGCATGTGTAGAGACACAGTCCCACAACTTCTGATGGAGTCACAGAGCCATAGATGCCACAAGTTGAGTCAGGGCTCTGTGTGGGAGACTCAAAGAGGTCTGAATTCTGTCCCCAAATCACTTACTCTTTGGCCCAAGACCTTTCTCTCACCCCATGCTTCAGTTTTCTCCTCTCCAACACTAGAGTAACACATTCCCTGCCTAACGCAGAGGCTTAGTCAGTAAAGTAATAGCCACACAGCATGAGGACCGGCATGCAATCCCTAGTACCCATGCAGAGAAGCTGGCACAACTAGCTGATCTGGCGAGCTCCAAGTTCAATGAGATCTTGTGTCAGTGGAGAGCAATCGAGGAACACACCTGATGTCAGTCTCTGGCCTCTAAACATGCACACATGAGTGCACACACACCCCACAATCCTGAACATGCGCAAAGACTAAAGTGGAGAAGATGCAGTTTTGAAGCAAGCCCTGGATTGTGCAATCAATACAGGGCACCACAGGCCAGCTGTGGATAGCTGAACCTTTAAGTGGCTGTTTGAAACACCTGACAAGTTCCTGGAATCATGTTCCATATGCCTGTGTTCTGACCCTGGAGTGAAGGCGAAGGGAAGAAACTTCACATGGGAGTGATTGTTCTAAGCAGGCAGAACAAGCTGGAGTCTGTGCTGTGCCTGGGTACTTCCCGAGCTAAAGAACCCGCCACGCCTGGATGTGCCCTGAGTAGGATGCTGCCCCTCCTGGGATAGGGCCTCCTGCCCCTTTGGTGTCATTTCTTCTCTCCCTCTTTCTATGTGTGGCTCAGTATTTCTCTGCAGCTCTGCTCTTATGGGCCCAGCATGCCAGTGCCCTAGGCCTACAGGAACCCATTACTGTTGTTTTACTACATGGCTATGCAGTCAAAATGCCTTCTCAGTATTTATATTTGTACCATAGGTTAGTGCTCTGATCTGCCTTGGTCAGAGATGCTTCTTTTAGCTGTGAGCAGCAGGGACTCACATGTCCAAGTGCTGAGAATACTTTAGTGTTGAGAGCTTAGTCCTAAACAAGATATCTGCACCACTCCCTCCAAGGCTCAAGGAGTATTTGGAGAGAGGGGGCCGGGAGCTGGAGGGTTCCACTGTTTGCTGCCTTCTCACAAAGACCGGGTCTATCAACATGGCTTCACAGAGTGGGCAGGGCTCAGGAGGCTCCAACCCTCCATGAGGAGCTGTTGGCTCCGGGAGAATGGGGCTCATCTTCAGCGTGTAACCTTCTACCCATTTTTATCCAAGCAACCCTAATTAAACTCAGTGGGCCATATCAAAAAGAAAGGCATGATAGTAAGAAGGAGACAAGCAGGAGCGGAAGGAGATGAGAGGTGATGGGGTGTGAATATGATGAAAATACACTATATATGTGTATGAAACTGTCAAAGAAAAAAAAGACTAAATGAAACCAAAGTTTAAAAAAGGAAGTGAGAGGTTTTCACAAGGCATAGGAGGAGGGGAGAGCGAGCACTAAGACTGAATCCTCAGAGGTGGTGGGACAGATATAGTGTTACAGAAAAGCCTGGGGCTATCGAACAAGCTTGGGACAACTGTCTCATCTTAATAATCTCCTAGGTGGAACCAGCTGTCAGAGCAGCACACACACCCTGTGTGAAGATCTGAGTTCAAGGCTTGGCCAGCACTGCTGTTGGTTGGGTGGTTAAAGCAGTTTGTGTCCCAGAGTATATAGTAGGGAGGATGGATACCATGGCAACAGCCATTCGAATGCACGGTCCATACAGACTTGTAAGTAGCCACCTGGAAATGGGATTGTGTGAAAGCCACTGAGCAGGTATGTTGCTCCGTGGATAGCAGATCAGGACCCTTGGGATTCAGAAGGGACGCCAGGAATTCTTGATTACATTCTAGGCCAGAGGGCAAGAAAAAGGGCAATCACACCAAGAACCAGCTAGAGGAGCAAGATGCAGAGGTGTTCTCTCCCACCCGGTCTCAGTAGCCTGCAGCTGACGAAGCAGCTAAGAGGGACCTGCTGCAGCCCAGGACAACCTAGAGCAGTTATAGCGTCCACCACACCTGTACTTTATAGTGCTGTGTCCTACAGCACCGGCAATGGGGGAAAGGGGAAGCCAGGCACAGGAGACATGGTCAAGCCCCCAGGACCATTCTGCACTACTGCTACAGAGGTAGGCACACTGCCAATCTCAGCTGAATGAAAAGCCAGGCTTAGGGCCTCGGGCAAGGGCAAGGGCTGGTTTTGTTGTACTGGCCCAATCCGTACATCTTGGAGGGCCACAGGTTAACATGCTGAGGAGAGATGAGAGGGGGGAGGACTGTCAGAGGCATGGCGTCTCAGAAGACATCTGGGAAACAGTAATGTTCTCACTGACATTGCCATGTGTGAGCAGGAGCAGATGGGTGTGGCAAGCCGACTCCAACCTCGAGCTCAGGGCAGCAGCCTCCACTGGGGACTGGAGGCCGGCCACACAGCAGCTGAGGGGTCTAAGTCTGTCTTTCCTGGTGCTATCTGGCTAGGGTGTGTGAGCCCTCATGCCCAGGCTTACCGTCCTGCTTACCTCTTAGAGCTGAGCCTCCATGCTGCCTCCTGTACCCGGATAGCAGGGGACAAGGGAGGCCCATGGCCCTCCACAGTGCTGACTGTGCTAGAGTACCCAGCGGGATGGGGGAAGCGGCCCAGGGCAGTGTTGTTGGCATTGTTGATGTTGGCATTGGAGCCTGTGGATGAGTAGCTGCTGGGGGTGAAGGTGGAGTCCACTAGCTTCTCATGGGATGGAGACTCGGTGTCACCTTGGTTGTTTCCCGTCTTGTTGATATGCAGTGGGCGCTGGGTAGTGAAGGTCTGAGGAAAGTTGCTCCTGCTGTCACTTTGATAGTAGCTGACATGATTGCCAAACAGGCCTCCAGCCCTCTGTAGACAAGACAGAAGGGGTAGGTAGAGAAGACTTCTCTGCATCCCCTCTCCTCCTTCCTGCATCTCCCTCTCTCACCTTGTATGGCCGTGGTTAAACACAGACCACGGGAAGCCACCTTGCCTTCCAGAGAGTCACACACTCTGGGTACATGGTAGAGACAGGGACGTACCAGATGCTCAAGGTTCTACAACTCCCCTACATACAGTGCTAGGACAGGAATTCCCTCATGGGCCTGGGCAGGCAGGAGGTTGCTGGTTTAGAAGCCTCCCTGGAAGTTTGTTCCAAAGGCAGCACCAGAGACTGAGGTTGGGTTTCAAGGACAAGTTCAAGATGGCTGTCCTTCTCAGAAAGCAGCTGTTTAGCTTGGTGGAGCTTGCTGTGAGTGTTGAGGGGTGAGAAGAAGGAAGGGCAGATGCACACCAGATTGCTTTAGTGGAAATACAACTGGCTCATGGAGCTGCAAACTGTACTGGCCCAATTGAAACGAAATGAAAAATGAAGAGTCTACTATATTGATTATATCATTGCTTCCTTTCCTGTAGAGATTCTTTGAGATCTGAAGTCAGGGACAAGTATTCGTCTCCAATATTCTTTCTTTGTCCCAGAGCTAGGGGTGGGAGGATTAGTGGTTAGGGGTTGGGGAAGCAGTGGTTTGCAATGTTAGTCTACTTTGATATCTGAAGGTCCTTAGGAGCCAGACCTGGGGACTGGGAGTGGCAGGAAGTAGAAAGGAGGAAGTCAGATGGGAAACTACTAGCTTATGGCACAGCAGGCTGTGATTTTTCTCACTGCCTTAATATTACTCCAGGAAAGGAGGAGGAGGCCTAGAGGGTACCACTGTGACTTGGACATCATGTGTTCCATCTTAACAATCCCTGCTAGTCTAGCTGCCACATAAGAACCCACACTGAATGTGGCCACTTAGCCTGATTTTCTTCTCCAAGAAAAGCCAGAAGTTTGTATTTTTAATTAGATATGCCAGGTATTCAAATAGTGGTGAATGAAACAGGTTTTCAGATTGGACGAAGGCCGGGAGTTCCTACCTCACACCTTCTGATGAAAACTTCGAGAAAATTTCTTTACAGAAATAGGCTCCCCTGTTCTCTGAGAGCTGGCCATATTTTGTTTTGAGCTGTTGTGTCCTAGGAGGATGGCATGGCACAGAGTTGGCTTGGAAAGAGGACAGGAATGAGGACTGCTGACTAGGAAGAATGTGTCACTCCTCAGAGAGATCAGGCAAACACCAAATTAGTGCACCATTGCTTCAAACTGAACTTCATGAAGACACTAGTCACGGCACTTACCCTGAAGATGTCGTCTTCAGAGGCAGCAGACACAGCCTCCTTCATAGCCTTGTCCAACTCCTCCTCAGCAGTAAGATCTCCAGAGATGGCCCGTCGGATCTCAGGCCCAATATCATGCAGCGTGCGTAAGCCAGCCTGCAACCCAGAAGGACTCATGAAGATCCTGGTCCTTTCTACTCATCTTTAGTCAACCAGTTGCTCCTTCCCAAGTCCCTGCCTCTTGGCTTCCCTGGAAACCCTCCCACCCCACCCACCCTAGAGTAGAAGAACCTACTCATATATCTAGGAGGAATGAAGGCATATTACAGGACCACCAAAAATCTGCTGTCTTAGGAGCAGAGGTGCTAATAGGACTGGGGGCTGAGAAAGCTGGCAGGATGGTTGAAGGAAGTATATGGGCAAGAATGGAAGAGGGGAAGAACACACTGCCTTTTCATAGCCACCTTCAGGAAGGTTTAAAGTGCTCACAAGTTTCCTTGGGATGGGACTGGGCCTCTAAGTAGCTAGCGAGACTTGGACCCTGGCTAGGGTGAGGAAGAAGTGACCAGGACCTGAGTATGGATGGATACTTCCCTTCAGCCCCTCACCTGCAGGGACAGTGCATTCCTCTGTGAAGGTTTTCCCACCAGCCCCTGCTCTTTTCGCTTCTTGAATTTTCGGAAGTACTCTTGGATCAGGAAGGTGGCATAGAACTTGCCTACTGTGACCTCGTCATCTAAGGCACAAAGAGAGAGAGAGAGAGAGAGAGAGAGAGAGAGAGAGAGAGAGGAGAGGAGACAAGGATGAGCAATTCCACCAGAACTCCTGGATTTTTTTCAGCACCTAACACTTCTTTAACATACTAGCTTTAATTGTTTAATACAAAAGAAAACATGTAAAAAGGCTGCTTAAAAAGTCATCATATCCCTGTCTGCTTACTTTCTTGAGTTCTTTTCCAGAAATAAGGAAGCATGTTCTTGTTCTCCTGTTTTCAAATTTATTCTTCACTGATATGTTACATCACAACCTCAGTTCCCCCCCCCCTTTCCTCTCAGTCCCCATCCCTCACTTGCTCTCTCTCCTAGATTCACTCCTTCTCCAGTTCCTTTCAGAAATGGGCAGACCTCCCAGGGATATCATCTGAATACAGCATAACAATTTACAATAAGACTAGATACAGCCTCTCATATTAAGGCTGAATGAGGCAACTCAGTAGGAGGAAAAGAGGCCAAGAGCAGGCCAAAGAGTCAGAGACAGCCCTGATCCAACTGTTAGGAGTCCAACAAGAAAACCAAGCTACACAATCATAACATATATGTAGAGGACCTAACTCAGACCCATACAGGCTCCCTGATTGTGACTTCGGTCTCTGAGCCCCTATGAGCCCCACTTAGTTGATTTTGTAGGTTGTGTTCTTGTGGTGTCCTTGACCCCTTTGGCTCCTATAATCCTTCCTTGTCATTTATTTTTTAACTGAGACAAGATATCCCTATCTTACCCAGGTGGCCTCCTGTAGTAATATATTATTTATGATTTATTAAAGCTTGCCCGAGGATTCAGAAAAGCAAAGTAAGCCTCAAGCTATAAAGATCAGGCAGTGATACACACTTTAATACCAACATCCAGAAGCTAGAAGTTGGTGGTACACACCTTTAATCTTAAAACTAAGGATTAAGAGGTGGATGGATCTCTGAGTTCAAAGCCACCCAGATCTGCACAAGATTCAATGAGTCTAAAAGATAAGCATAGCTCACATCTTTAATCCCAGCACTAGAGAGGTATAAAAGACAGGAACAAGTACTCAGTAGGAGGCATTCATTCTCCAGGCATGCTGAGGAGAGGTTACAGTCTGAGGCTGTGTGAGAGCTTGTAGAGACAGGATCAGCCCATTCAGCCTGAGGTAGAGGTAAGAAGCTAGTGGCAGCTGCTTTGCTTTTCTGATATTCAGCTTGAAGTTTGTACCCCAATACCAGTCTCAGTCTCAGGGATCAAGTGATAGTCCCTCCTGAGTAGCTGGGACCAGAAGCATACAATGACGTGTATGCCTGGTTGACTTTCCCTCTGCCCCCACATACAGAAAATCTAGGATATTATCAAGGTTAATTCCAACTCCCCCCCCCCCACTCTCCTGCATGGACATTACTAAGTCTTGTTTGATTCCACTTGTCATCCAATGATCAGTCTCTTAATTGTCAATATAGTTCTAGTTGGGTGAGAGGGGCTAGTGGCAGGGGGCCTTCTTTAAGGTTGGTGATTTCCCTTCCAGTCAGCTAGACTGGCTTAGACCAAGTATCCTTGCTGGGCTGGACACATAAGACCACACATGACATAGTCTTGATTTTAGGAGTGAGCCAAATGGTAGCAAAGCTGTACGTCCTCAGGGGGAGTGTTTCATGCCAAGCTAGTGGTCCCTTTGTCTTGTCCCCTTTTTGGTGTGAGAAGGACAGATGGTTGAGCTGGACCTCAGGACCTGAAATGGTTTTCCCAATCCTCACTGTTCTTTCAGTGTAGCCAGCTCTATAGAAGCTTTGGGCTTACCATAAGGAAGGTCATTTCAACATGAAGGGAAAACCCTGGAGATCCCTGATGAGGAAAATTGAGAATGAACTTGGAGCCCTACGTTGTCAGGCCTGAGTTGGATGCCTGAGTCTACACAGTACTCACTGGGAAATCTACATAGTTGGGAACATCATTGCCTAGAGTGAACTTCATAGAGATGCTGTGGGCATTAGATAAAATGAAGAAACAAAGCATTAGGTGGCACATGGTAACTCCCAGCATGCCTTGCTTTGCCTAATGGAAGTCTCAAACTGGAAGTCTCACCTCTTAAGGATGTTTCTGGAATGTGTGGGCTCAATTAACATGTTAATAAAATATAATGACAAATGAAAAGTGTTGACAGTATTTAACGCTATCTTGTTTACTTTCAATAGTTAGTCTAAGTGTTTGCATGTGAGGATTCCATCAGTTATTACGGCTTTTTGTAAGGGTGTACTGCACATTTTAAACTGAATGCATTTGCTTTTAACATACCTCATTTTAAAGCATTCTACTAGTGCTGTGGAAATTACAAGTGTGGGCAGGTTATCTATGATTCTGATTTGGGATTATCGTAGGTTAGGAAGGAAGTACGTGCTATGAAACTGGGCTTGTGGTTTGGCAGGCATGAGAAATGTTACTCTAGAAAAAAAAAAAAGAGCTTAAAAAGACATGGTGAATCTCAGGCAACGTTCCTTCCAGGGCTCTATAGCAACTGACTTTAGAGCAGTCAGCACAGTGGCTTATGGGTAAATCTAGACCCATATATTGTAGGGCTCCCACAAAAGTTCTGCCAAACACTAAGCACAGAAGGGCTTGCTTGTTCCCATGTGAGAACGTGGGATTACAGCAGGCTTCTAACAGGATAGTTTGCAGCCAAGCTTGTGCAGGACAAGTAGGACCTCTGATCCCACCAAAGGGGCCAGAGAAAGAAGGATCAGACATGGTGGACTCAAGCATGGAAGTCTCATGGGGAAGGATCACTCATGGTGGACCCAAACATGGACGTCTCGAGGGCTGTGTCTGCACTGCCAATGATGGCACAGCTAAAGGATAGGAAGGTGGAGAAACCCTACTGGCTGGGCCAGTAACCCTGGTCTGGGAATGCAGGGAACACTCACCACCTGCAGGGGGCACCACCTGGTCCAACAGCTTCATGCTGGTCCTCTTCCAGATTTTCTTGATGATGGCCCGCAGCTCCTCATTGGCTTGTTCTAAGTTCCCTGATAGAAGGAAATGCAGACTGAAAACATCCCCCATGTGCTGGGAAGTCCCAAGGCATCACATCTGGTTCCCCTGCTGTTCTGATCCCCCATCTTCCTATTTTCTAGTTTCTTTCACTTTCCCCTTCCCTTTCTCTTTACTTTCCTTGTGACTGTCCTCTCTTGCCCTGTCCAATACCATTCTCCTTCCTTTCCTACTCCATTGCAAAGTCCTCCCACCCCCAAGCCACACCCCCTTCTGGTTATAGCTGAAGAGCATGACGGTGCCTCCAGACATTCAAATCTTAGCTCTGATACTGGTCGTTATGCAAGGCAGCACAGAGGCTGATCCTGATACAGGTATTTCACAATGACTCTGTGGTGTTTGAAAGAACATGGCCCCCAAAGGGAATGGCCTTGTTGGGAGGTGTGGCCTTGTTGGAGGAAGTGTGTCACTGTGGGGGCGGGCTTTGAGGTCTTTTTCTCATGCTTCACTCAGTGTGACAGTCAGTTGACTTCCTGTTGCCTGCAAGATGTAACACTCTCAGCTTCCGTCCACACCTGCCTGCACGCTGCCATGCTCCCCTTCATAATCATAACACATGGAACCTCTGAGACTATAAGCAAGCTACCCTCAACTAACGTCTTTCCTTTATAAGAGTTGCTGTGGTCATGGTGTCTCTTCACGGCAACAGAAAACCCTAACTAAAACAACCTCCTTGTGCTGCTGCAGGAAATGGAGATGTTTTGAGGGAAGGGCAATCCACTCCTGCACATATACACAACATAGGGGCACATTTGTGTCCAAAGGATCTCTGCTGAGTACCCCAGGGAAGGAAGTGGAGAAATCGAAGAGTGGAGGCAGAAACCCGAAGGCCTATGCTGTGGTAGTTTGGACTTCATTAGATGCACACTGCCTGAGACACTGTCTCATGCTGGTGGAGAATCAAAGCTAACAAGCAATTGTAAGAGGGATGTCCTAGATAGGATTAGAGGATCCTCCCAAGGATGCCTGCCCTTGCTACCATTGTGCATCCTATGGAATGAGAATGTGATACGTGGTATTCCTGTGATTAGGTTAAGTCACACAGCACCTATTACCAAAGGGAAATGATGCCCATGACCTACTCACAGAATTCATATATATATATATATATATATATATATATATATATATATATATAACACTATACTTTGTTCATTGTATATTTACTAAAAAGGTGATGGGAGATGTCATTCTGTAAATGCTTCTCTTATTGGTTAATGAATAAAGCCCTGCTGGCCTATAGGAAAGCCAGATAAGTGGGACTAGGAGATGTGGAGGATTCTGGGAAATGTAGTAAAGAGGAGTCAAGTTGTAGGATGTGAGAGAAGAGGTCTGGACCCTCTTTCTGCTAAGACAAGATCACATGGAAACACTTATATTGATAGAAATGGGTTAATATTTAAGACAGAGCTAGCCAATAAGAAGCTCTAGCCATTGGCCAGCAGCTTTATAACTAATAGAGTCTCTGTGTGTTATTTTGGGACTGACGTGGCTATGGGACCAGGCTGGGGGGGGAAGTGCACGTAACAAAATGGCGTCTACAACGTGGATACTAAGAACTTCCACTTAAAACTTAACAAAAGCTTAAAAAAAGGCTTTTTAAAAACAAAAGAACAGGGACAAGCACGGCTTCTTGGTAGCAGCATTTTTCTCAGGAGGGCTCTGTTTTGCTAGAGACAAGCAGAGACTCCCACAGCTTCTTTAAGGCATACGTGGCAAAAACCTGCACAGCTCTTTTGACAGGCCTTGCTAACAATTCAATGTTGTGTACGAGCAGCTGGCAGTAGTCGTGACCCCATCTCCAAGCCAGCAGCATAGACCAAGGCAGAAAGCGAAGCTCTCAGTGCTGGCGGTAAACATACCCCCACCATACTGGAAAAAAAGTGGCTAAAACAGCTGCCACTTTAACTTTAACAATGTTATTGTTTATCAGATAAAAGACTTGTGGCTACAAAAAAAAAAAGGTACAGATATATAGTAAAGACAGATTCAGATAAAGTAAAACCTTAAAAGTTTTTACAGTGTGTTTAAAAGTATACATAGGCATGGGAGAGAAAATAAAGAGGATATTTGGTTTAAAAAAAAAGTTACTGGGAAGTGCTGGAGCACGCTTTTAATCCCAGCACTCAGTAGGCAGAGACAAGCAAATCTCAGTGATTTCAGAGCAAACCTGGTATACAGAGTGAATTCCAGGACAGGCAAAAGTTACACAGAGAAACCCTGTCTCAAAAACAAAACAAACAAACAAAAACCAAGCAAACAGAAGTAAAAGAAAGAGTAATAAAAAAGCCACCTAATGATGGAAAATACACAGAGAGTCTGGATACTGTATGCTATTGTGTTGTCTTTGAATTGCTCAATTGCTAAGAAGGAACAGCAACTGCTAAAATACACTTGATTATTAATGCTGCTAAATTAATTCAATTTATATATTTAAAAATGCTCTGACTTCAAAATTGAAGTCTAAGGACAGGTTACTGAGGAAAAAAAATTCTATTTTTGTTTCCACAGAAAATGAAAAGCTGTGGATTCCTTCCAGACTAACATGGTTTGATCAAGCAAGACTCCTCAGAACAGTCTTCCAGGTGATCCAACATTCAAAACAGCTGGGACAAGGCAGCCTTGCAGACTAAAGCTAGGATTTCTGAGTCTTCTTAGGATTCCCCACCTAGCAGGGAACAGTTTGGAAAGAATGATGCCCAAATTCCCAAATATTGTTTATAAATGTTTGTTTTCATTTAAACGGGTTTGGTTATAAATGGCTAATGATCACACCAATCCCTTTTAAAGGTAAAAAGGGGATTATGGTATAGAAATGAATACTTTGTTTTGGAAAGGATTTTCATTTATTGATACAAATTTAAGGCCAATTTTGTGACCTTTATTTACCATAGTCACTGCTTGTCACTGTCACCATTCCTACATAGATCCTTTAAATTTCAAAAGAGAACTGAATGTTTGGGAGACATGCCTGTCTCTAATACAAGTCCATCAATATGGGGCTTGATCCTGATCTGCATAGCAACCACCTCTTCCATGCTTTGCACTAAACCTTCAGTCCTCAGGAGGTTACCAGGGTTTGGCGGAAAAGAAAGGTTCAAAATAAATAAGTTATGGCAAGGGGGCCATTCAGGAACCAGAGACAATATAAGCACGATGCACCTCTTGGAGAATCAGAGTGCAGGCTGTTGGTGTTACTCTGCACTGATGCTGTGTAGGCAGGAACATCTTTCTGATGGGGATGCTAGACTTTCCTAAACACCCTACTATCAGTGGTACTGATGGGGGTGTTCTTCTGTATATATGTTTCTCTCATTAGTTGATTAATAAAACACCGTGACCAACAGAGGCAGGGAGAGAAGTGGGACTAGGAGATGAAGAGAATTCTGGGAAACATAGACAGAAGCAGTCACCATGTAACAGGTCCAGACCCTTCTCCGGTAAGCCAAGACCACATGGAAATACACAGATTAATAGAAATGGGTTAATAATTAAGACAGAACTAGCCAGTAAGAAGTCCAAGCCTTTAGCCAACAGTTTTATAATTATGTAAGTCTTGTGTGTTTATTTGGGGCTCTCAAGGGCAGCAGGACCTTGCTGGGCCCGAAAACTCATGCTTACAGTGGTACCAGAGGCCCACGAGAGCCATTACCTTCTGTTTTGATCCTCAGGGCTGTCCTGACTAGGGCAAACAGGGTGGCATTGAACATGACTGTCCCATCGCTGTTCAGAGGCATGTTCATGGACACTAGACGCTGGAGGGAAAAAGAGGCTAAATCAGTGACAAGGACAAGCAGTTCTTAAAGGCTCTGCACAATCATTGCGATGGGGAGGTTGGGAGGCCCCTGGAAACTTGGATGGGTGCTGTTGGGAGTGGGAGGGGTATGCATGTGGTCACCACAGTGTCTCCAAAGCTTTTCCAGGGAGGAACTAGGCTTTATGGTAAGTACTTTTGAGCCTCCACATTCCTTAGCTCCCTGCTGCCACAGAGCACTCTTTCCTGCTCTGTGCTCAGGCCTACAGATAGTTATGCTATCTACTAGCAGCAAGAACAGCCACCTGCTTGCCAGACAGAATTATCCAACTCCAAAGAAAAGGAATATGAGATGGCTCTGGGGGGACAGAGAACCCTTTATCTTCACATAGACTCATTTATCTTTACTTCAGTCCTGGTACCAAAATCACTCACCCAAACAGGATTTTGTTGCTCTCTACTCCCAAAAAATGCTTCCCTAGCCTCCTCCTCCCTCAGGAAGCCAGCGGCACACACAGGGGTCATCAGGAGAAAGAACGATATGATGTCCACCATGGATGGCACTGATGTCTTCCCTCAGATCATATGGGGTCTTCCTGTGATATTTTGCCAGGGGTTGTATTTTTCCCCGGGTGAATGCATCATTTTGAATCTCTTAGACACCAACTTAGAAAGCTTCAGTCCCTGTTCTTGGCCCTAACAGGCACATGTGAAGGTCATGACCTGTACACTCCAGTCCCTCTGGGCTGTTTGATCGTATATTTGATTGGTACTTCTTACAGCTTTAATCCTAAATGTCACCCAAAGGCCATGCCATAAAAGCTCAGTTCCCAGGCTCAGTACTCTTGGGAAGCGGTGGACCCTTCAGGAGGTGGGGCCCAGTGGAAAGAAAGTACAGGAAAGCATGCCCTTGAGGAGGGTATTAGGCTCTTGGTCTGTCTTTTCCCCTCCCTGCTTCTGAGGTGAAGAGGCCCTGAGGTGAGCCTCTTCCTCAACTGTAATGTTCCAAAGCTGTCACAGACCCAAAGCACAGCCCCAGTGATTACAGACCGAAGCCTCCAAAAGTGTGAGCCAAAAGAAACCTTTTTACGGGTTAAGAAATTCAGGTACTTGTCACAGCCCAGAAAGCAGAATGATAGACAGCTCCTGTTTCTCATATTTTTAGGACCCTTGGAAATCTCCTCAAGTTCTTTTTGGATTAAAGTAGAGGTGCTGATGAGGGAAATCAGACTACCACAGGGCATAAGTAAAGGTTCCATGCTTCCTACACTCTGTTTTCCATGAATGCGTTATCCAAGGAGCTCAGCTGTTGTGTTTCTTCCTCTGTGCGGCTGGGCTCTCTGCCACTGCTTTCCCCAGCCCATTCTGAGCTCACCAGAGCTCTCACCGGAAACACAGGATGAGGAGAATGGAGGCAGGATAGTGACCAAGTGAGGGACTGCTCCTCAGCAGTCACTGGGCTGCGTGGCAGGACCTGCAGTAGGTTTACTGGTCCCTAACCCTCAAGGTCAGTGAGTAGCTGTGTTTATCAGAGCCCCAAGTGTTTGTCCCAGCCAGTTTTGGATCATAGATTGGCTCAGGGCTTTCATAAAAATGGCAGGTTCTTGTCTATGTAAAGTTTGTATTTTGTGATGGGACATCACTTGTGGCCTCTCTAATGGTTTCTAACCCACTACTTTAGGTGAGGAGAGTCACTGACACCTGGGCCATGCAGCCTGATGGGCCGTATAAATCCTTTATTCAGATGGGATACCTGCTTCCCTCACTGCGATGGTTGTTCTTTTAGTCTTGGGACTTTAGATCTGGAAGGTCCTTAAAACAGAATCTGGCTCACATTTGTTTCTTTAAATACCTAAAATATCCTTGTTCCCTTAATAATCACAAAGGCAAACAGGTATTTAGCCTCTCCATATTTGTCTTTTCCCCTCAGGAACCCAGGTCATTTCTTACTTTGCAGGCCACACGGTGAGGACACAACTTCCCAAAACCCAAGGGGGGCTGAATTCGACGGAGGAGGGTCACCACATCCAAGTGTTTTATCCGTCCCCTAGAGAAGGAAGCAGAGAAGGAAAGGCAGTCAGAAGGCCAGGCCTCACCTACTGGGGTGGGGCCAGATGCAGGGGCATTCCCTGCAGGGCTACGTGAAGTCCCCAAGCAGTGCAGAGACACATGATAGAACTTCAAACCCAGGGTACATGTTACAGTTTTCATCACAGAAGCTTGTTAGGGCTGCGCTTCAGGGAGAAGGCATGCTAGTAGTGCAGTTACATCCCAGTATGTATGTGTTGCTCAATCAGTGAACCATTTGGCCAGAAGGCATTTAGGCCAGTTAACAGTTATGGGTAAATGAAAGTTTCCATAAACCTGAGGTCAAGATGGAGCTGAAGTCTACCTAACCCCAAATGACCCAATGCAAGTGTTGCTAGTTTCATCTGATCCTAGAGTCTTTTATTTCTCCATCCAACTGACATGTTCCCCAGCTTTGTGAATGGTACCTCGCCTCCTCTTGCTGGCCCTTGACCCTTCATCCTGGTCTGATACATTTCTGGGTTTTCAGTTAGTACACCCAATATTGACCTCTCTTGGATCTCTTCTACAGGTCGGTCACTCAACCCCCTCTCAGGTTGGTGGGTCGAAGTTTCCCTCTAGGAACTTACTTGGCTTCAGGGTCATACTCGGCCCAGATCCTTTTGAATTCATCCAGATGATGGGGACCAAGGATAGACCAATCCCTTGTCAGGTAGTCAAAGTTGTCCATGATAACAGCTACGAAGAGGTTGATGATCTACAGGGAACAGTTGGTGCACTAAGGGACTTGCCAAGACTTACACATTTGCTGCCTAAGCCCACTTCACCAGCCAGTGCCCAGGCAAGTCAGAAACCAAGGTTTCTAAGGATCCAAAATATGCTAGAATTTAGGATGCCAACTGCTACAATTTGGGTCTCTTGGACAGGAACTCAACACTATTCCCCTGAGCATCATGAGGGATGAATTCTACTCTAGACAGATGAGCTTTCTTCATACCAAGTTACCAGGGACAGAGAGGGGCTTTGTCTGGTCACCTTTCCCTCACTCCTGAGCAAGGTATTTGAGACATACAAGTTCATGCAGAACTTCTAGCAACCACAAGAGCTGTGAATGGACAAGATTGAGTCTGGATGATTCACGCTGGGCCAAGGCTTCTGGCCCTTCTCAGGGGTGAGATATCTCTACTAATTCAGTCTTCCCAAGACAGCTCATTTGCTGGGATTGCCCTGCCCCCATGCTGCCCCCAAACTGGCCGCTCTCTCTGTGCTGTCGAATCCCACCTCAGCTTACCAGGAAGGCACAGAGCATATAGAAGCTGATGAAGTAGAAAACAGCAAAGCTGCTGCCACAGGGTGTCTCCCCTTCTGTGCTGTTGCTGGGCTCAGACTCTGGGGCACACTTCTTGCCTGGCATACAGGCCAGCATGATATCCTGCCAGGCTTCCCCAGTGGCACACCTGGACAAGAGAGGTGACAGTCCAATGTTAGCTGGCCACTCACCCATGCAGGCAAGACCCCCTCAGCCTCACCTTCCAGGAGGGACTGCTGAAAGGAATTGAGCATTCCAGGTTCACTGGGCATTGATTGTGTTCATTAAATATGGAAATATAAAGCATTGCTTTGAATGTTTTAAAACTCAAGACACACAGAGGCTTCTGAAGACTTGTTCTTTTATCTGTGAAGATTTTAGATGCAGTCCATGTAGACATATTGTAGCTGTAGTTTGTTTTCACTGCTACACAAGAGCATCCTCCATGAGTACATTAAAATCCCATTCTTGCTATGGGAGTGGGTTTTTCAGAATGACTGTTTTTTGCTGTCACAGTTACCACTGTAGTTAAGTGTGCAGGTCCGTGTCTTGGGTGTCTGCTTAGGAATGGAACTACCAAGTCTTCATTTTTACCAGGTAGCACTTGTCTGGTTTAGACTAGGGTCATCAGTGTCATTGCAGACACATCAGCTCTTGGTGTTGGTAAATTTTAATCCTCAGATGATGGTGTGGAATAATATTTCCCTGCAATTTAAATTTCGTTTTCTAGACCAGCCTGGGCTACATGAGGTCCTATCTTGAAAAGAAATAAAATAAACATCTTTTTTTAAAAAATGGTTTTGAAATGATTAGTAGGTTTTGAGTTTTACTTGTGTCTCCTCTTGATTGCATGATCAGGCATTGCTCCTTTGACTCATGGGCTATGTACCTTTTTGTTTAGTTAAAAAATCCTTGGTATTTTCACATTAATTCCTAGGTTAGCTACATTCACTACAAATGTCTCATTCCAGATATGGCTTGGCTCTAGCTTAATACCACACTTGCGAAGGCTCTAAACTCAAGGTCCCCATGATCTCAAGGCAGGGACCTCATCCACTGAGCCATCACCCCAGCCAATCCTCCTCATATTATTACACTGGATAGAACTTTCAACAAAATATGATAGCATAATATGTCTATTGTATTTACTAATTGGTTGTCATAAACTGGTGATTTTTGTGATGGCTCCCCATCTCACTGATCCTACCCACTGCTATAAAATCAGTTTGCGTGCATTTTCCACCTGAATTAGCCTTTGTCTTCAGATGGCAGTGCCCTACGTGTGTTTGTGACTTACTGCTTTTCTAAAAAACAAAACAAAACAAAACAAAAAAAGGTACTAGTTCATCTTCTCTCCTGAGTGGGGGAGGTTTCTGTCTCTTTTTATTTCTGAGAGTTTGGATGACTTGGAATTATTTAGTCTTCGACCACAGATGAAAACACATCAGCATGGGCCTTGTAAAGGTTGTGATTTTGACAACTTTTTCAGTATCTATTGTAGCTAATGCTCCTCATTTATTGAGAGCATTTCACTGTTAAATAGCACTAATCTGTACCTGGCAGGGAAGGCTGCTCCCTCTGATAAGCTGGAACTAAATGGATGTGCTCACTTTGATTTATGTTAAGTGGCAATCTAGAAAAGTATACACTGAGACACTTTTTTTTTCAAAGAATAATTTGTTCTTTAAATTTTTAGTTTCTTGGTTTATCAGTGATTTTCCAGTTAATACTTTATTTTTTTTCTTAAAAAGTACTATCAAGATCAATTGGTTGTTGCCCAAATATTCTTGGATGTGTGGTCTTCCACTGGAGTGACATTTTTCTCCTTAACAAAATCTTCACAGAATATTGGTGATGATAATCTTTAAGAGACTGAAAAGTTATTGTATCTTGCTAGTTTTGGGAGAGGGGATCCAAGTAATCAGGCAGTCAGGGATACCCTTCTACCTTTTCCCCAACGTAATCAAATACTAAGATGCAAGCAACCTGGAAGGATTTGCACATGTTTCTCTGCAATGCACATTGTCCACGATAACAAGAAGGCCCACTCGTCAGTGGCGGGAACATCCCTGCTTCGCCATGCCGTTCTTGCATTTGTTCAGTGCACATAACCCTCCCGGCCTTCCTCTGAGTGCCAGACGCCAGTCCTCTGAGCACATGCTTCTTGTAGGAGTTACAAAGTTTGTGTTCACTGCATGCTTTACAGGCTCTCTGGCAGCCAGTGGCAAGAAAGATGTGTACCTTCATTCTAAAGTAGCCCATCGCCTTGGAGATGAGGTAAACATGAGGCAAGAAGTTCATTTGTCATTATAAAAATCTTTTCTATGACCATAATTTTTTTGTTTGTTTTTTGTTTTTCAATACTGGGTTTCTCTGCTTTGTAGTCCAGGCTGGTCTCGAATTCACAGAGATCTGCCTGCGTCTGTTTCCCAAGTGCTGGGATTAAAGGCGTGCGTCACCAATGCCCGGCGGCTTCCACATCCATGATTATGCTACATTCCCATGTTTGGTGTTGTGCTTTTGTTTTATTAGTGTTTCCATTTAATAAATACATATTTACTTATTGGTATTTAAGGAATCACCTAAGGATTAAAAATCAAGTTTTGTTTATTTTGGCAACTTACACTTTTATTTTCATGCGTGAACTCCTTCATAATTTGGAATTATTTTGATGTTCATTGGTCCATCAGTTTATTTCGTATAATTTCCTAAATAAGGACGCGGACGCTTGAGCTCTCATTTTCTTTGTCATTGACCAGTCGTCTTACCTTGGTTCCCACTGCTGAGAGCTGTACTTTCAACTTAAGCTGATAGTGGAGTGTCTTAACATTTCACGTGGGGAGATTTTAAAGGGGCTATTTCTGTGCATAATTTCTAGCTTGCTGTATTGCTGTTGGAGAAGCGTTAGAACTTGTTAAATTCATTATGACTTAAGTTGGGGCTACTTTGTGGATGTTTCTGAATGCCCAAAGACAATGTGCCTTTTTGGAATTTATTGAGGACAGGTCTGTAAGTGACATTGCTTAATTGTGTAATTTAGATGGTCTTTCAGCTATGTCAAACTATTATTTTTTATGAACTATATATTCAGTCATTCACCGTTATGTGTTTTCTCCTTGAGTTCTATTACTGTATTTCCAAACAAGACTGTTAATCTTCTATTGTTTGTAATTATTACATGTTATTGTTTGATTAAACCTTTTACCAGCATCAAATCCTCCTCTTTGTTTTGTTTAATGCTTCTTACCTGGAATTTTACTTCTACGGATGCTGCGACTGCTGCACGCTCATGGCAGGCATTGTTGGGGTTTCCTTTTTCCATCCCTTTATCCTCACTCTCTTTGGGTCATGTTGTTTTACTGTGTCTATTACACATATTCTAGAGTAAGAATTCTTTTTGTTTGTTTGTTTGTTTGTTTGTTTGTTTGTGGTTTTTGAGACAGGGTTTCTCTGTATAGTCCTGGCTGTCCTGGAACTTACCATGTCGATCAGGCTGGCCTCAAAATCACAGAGATTTGCCTGCCTCTGCCTCCCACGTGCTGGGACTAAAGTTGTGTGCCACTGTGCCTGGCTAGAATTTTTAGCACCAGCAATATACTATCTGTTTTTAAAAGTTGTGATTATTCGGTTGGCCGGTGGTGGCACACGCCTTTAATCCCAGCATTCAGGAGGCAGAGGCAGGCAAATCTCTGTGAGTTCAACGACAGCCTGGTCTACAAAGCTACACAAAGAAACCTTGTCTTGAAAGAAAAAAAATGTTATTATTCAATCATTTTAATTGTACAAATTAATAAATTTCATTGTAAATTTTTATATATGCATGTATCATGCCTGATCTTTATTTAAAGAATTTAAAATTACTTGTGTGTGTGTGTGTGTGTATGTGTGTGTGTCTCAGTGCACATGTGTGGTGGTCAAAGAACTTGCAGGAGTCAGTTTTTTTTTCTCTTCTACTGTGTGGGTCCTGGGGAATTGAACTCAGGTTGTCAGTCTTGCCAGCAAGCACCTTTACCCATTGAGCTATACTGCTGGTCCTAATGCTTGAATTTCTAATGGGAATTTTAAACAAGCTCAATTTTTAATGTCTTTGTGTTATCTTTTTTCTTCCTTCTGACTTTATTTTCCTAATTGCTTATTTAAGTGCCACCTTTGCCCTTCTTTTGAAGTTTCCCTTGTCCAGTGTTTTGATCTAGTGGTTTGCTTTCAGGCAGGATTAGGAATCCAACCCAAGGCCTTGGGTCTGTCAGACAAGCACTGCACCACTGAGCTACATATAGACACTCCTCCTCCTGCTTTGGAATGTACACATTCAGTCTCTATGTATCTAGATGTTGACTTTCAGTATTTAATATGCATGTTTACAAGCCCTTTACTCCTCATATAGATGAGTCACACTGTGAGATGTGGTTTTTTGTCCTTCATTCTGTCAGTGTGCTGTATCACTTCTTGATTTGCACATGGGGGACCACACTTACATTCCAGGTTTTAATTCCCCTAGTACACAATGATTGATTGCTTGTATTGTTCTGTTCAATTCAGTCTGCTAGCATTCTGTTGAAGGTTCTTTTATATTTATATTAATTAAAAATATTGGTTTATGACAGTGGTTCTCAATCTGTGTGTCACAACCCCCTTGGGGGTTTGAAGACCATTAGAAAACACAGATAGTTACATTATAATTCATAACAGTAGCAAAATTACAGTTTTGAAGTAACAATGAAAGTAATCTTATGGTTGGGGGTCACCCCAACATGAGGAATTAAATTAAAGGGTCACAGCATTAGGAAAGTTGAAATCACTTGTCTATACTTTCCTTTTCTTGTAGTGTCTTTGTACAGATGGCCTAAACACACACACACACACACACACACACACACACACACACACACACACACAGAGAGAGAGAGAGAGAGAGAGAGAGAGAGAGAGAGAGAGAGAGAGAGAGAGAGAGAGAGATCTTGGAGTTTTTATACTTTGGAAACCTTTAAGACTTTTTTCTTATTGTTGGCATTAAAAAGTCAGCATAAACTAACAGTTAAGGCTGTTTGGAGACAAGATTGAGAGAGGGTATTGTCTTGGAATCAAACTAGCTTTACTCACGCTCCAGTCTTCTGAGTTCTGAGTGTATAGGCATGAGCTACTGCCTCTGGGAGGCCAGAGACTTTTTATTTTTATTTTTTTTGGTTAACCTATTCTACACTTGCTAAGCCATTTCAATCTGAAGGCTTACTTCTGTTTTGAAATTTTATTGGATCAGCCTAGTGTATTACTCTCTTCATTTTGTCTGTTCTTGTCTGGAATTTCTATTCCATGGTAGGATTTTCCTATCTCCACTCTCTTTGTCTTAAGCTTTAGTCTATGCTTTATTTTTTCTTGCACTTTGGTTATATAGTGAACCTCAGTTGATATTTCAGGTCATCAATACATTTTTTGGATACATCCTTTCTGCTATACAGTATATTTAAAAATGTTTTAGAAAGGAAAATAAAAATACTTGTGTTTTCTCTCCATCCTTGCCCTGTTTAATAATGGCTACTGCTACTATTTCTTCTAATTTAACAGAAGTGTTTAGGCTTCAGTCACCCTAGCAATGTGAACTGCATTTAATTTAGAGTCTTTTGGATCTGTCCCCTCCTTTTTCCTCCCGGTGTGCTCATTTATTTGCATCTTGAGCATGACACAGACGCCTCTCCTTCCTGATGTTGGTTCCCTCACACATTTCGGGATTAATCTCAGTTGCTTCTGTGACTGAGAACCCGGCTCTCTGAGTAAAGTCTTCATCCGTGAGCTCTCCGGGGATCACAGACAGGCAAGGCAGGCAGAGGGGCCTGGTGGGTGGATTCTCTCAAGAGGGCAGTGTCCTGACAGGGAGCACCCTGCTGGGTCTTTCAGACTCCAAAGCCCTGGGGTGAGTTGTCAAACGCTGCTGTCACAGCTGAAGAGCATAGCAGAGCTTCACCAGAATGCAAGTCCCAGGTGGCCCTGGAGCAGTGAGTGACCCAGACCTCTCCTTGTAGCCGTTGACACTGGGACTGGAGAAGCTCTAGGCTGCTCTCACCCCCTCCCTGGTCTCAAACTGTCTGGAAACGTGCTATTCTTGTCTCCTCCCTTTGTGAACTGAATCTCATCTCCTTTCTTCCACTGAGATGTCCCTCAACGCTTCTACTTTGCCTGTAGCACTCACTCCTCTTTCCCTTTTCCATCTTCAGCAGTAAAGAGTTTTGTCTTGAAAAGGTATTTTCTGCCATTAGGAACTTTAGAAAGGAGAGAGAGAGAGATCGTGGCCAGTCTGAGGTCTGTGGCCATCTGCATCTAAGTGTGGCACAAGCTTGCCTCTGTGAAATAGCAAGTTTACAATAGCTAGCTTTGCATTCTGGTGGTGTGTGATTTGGGAGGCAGTGATGCCTGGCTGATGTTAAGGAGACCCATCATTTTGATAAATGCATTTTGAGCAGTAATAAACTTGGGTGTGGGGTCAGGTTCTGTAGGAGATGGTGGAGGTGGCATCAGCTGACAGAATTTCTCCCCATATACTTGAAAAGGGTCTCAAAGACCTGGAAAACACTTCCCTTGGAGACAAGAGAAACGGTACCATCTACCCATCGGGGGACTAGATGGGGTCTCAGAGTGTGACATCCTGCAGAGCAGGAAGTTGAGAAGATGGAAGCCGATAAAGGGATCATGGTGAGTCAAGAGAACAAGATGGTGGTGTAAGAGATGACCTCCGGGCAGTGTAAGAAAACCACCTTCTCAGCTACACCCATGGTGGCAGATTTCCAAGAAGTATGACTTGCTAAACAGATTGTCAGAGAAGGTAGATCTGCTGCTCAAGGTCAGTGTGTTGAGGCTTGCCTATGCCCCAGTTCAGATGCCAAGCCACCATGCTTTTGGTGTTTAACTGACCCACTAATGACTGGGTCAGGGGACTCCCAGATGATGTGTGTGGTGCCTTGTGGCTGCACATGGAAAGGTGGTATAAATGACAACGTGACTTTGTGGCCAAGAGGTAGAAGAGGCCATACTTGCCCTGTTCCCTTTACTCTCACAGGGATGGGCTATTGTCTTGTAAGTGCACATGCACACCTTGTCATCAGAGACCCACCTGAAGAGCAGTAGCACAGCCTGTGGGAATGTCTGGAAGTTGTTGTTCCTATTGATCTCTGTGGTGTCATTCAGGGCGATCTTCCCAAACACCTGAAGAAAGAGGAATTCAGCGACCAGAGAAGGACAGCATGCTCATCTCCAGCCACTGTCTAACAGCCTCTCTGGGACTATTAGGCCAAGCAGTCTCTGATGTGACTCAGCAGACATCTACTGTCCCCAGATCCCTGGACCCCTGCCCAGAATGGAAAACTTGAGGGAGAAACATGCCCTCAGCCTACAGGAAAGGTCTCCCACCCAGAGGAAGCTGGGGCTGGGAGTGGTAAATGTATGCAGAGGTTGAGGCGCTCAGTGTAGGAACTAGGGCTCATTGCCTTCTTGCCTTTGCATCTCTAGGCACCTAAATACACGACTGATGCTTGGGTTTTTCAGTGATATTGACTGGGCAGTCCAGAGCTTGGACAAGCTTCATTCATTCCTGACATCAGGGGCCTGCTTGTGTTTTCTCTGACCCTCCGAAGCAATGCTTCTCTGACAAGCTGCCAGCACTGTCTCCCTGTATCTGATGTCAAGGTACATATTTTTCCCCTCAGGAACTTTTAGGGATTTTATACAGGGAGCTGCTAAGTGAAGATCCTGGCTCATGTACATGCTTGGCTCGGGAGGTACTGCCTGACAGAACCTAGAAAGACTCAGTTGGAGCCCTGAAGGGGTGGGGGTGGGGATGGGGGACTCTGGATGAGGAAACAGAGCAAGTGCAGCAGGCCCCTGGGAAGGAAGTTCCTGAAGATGGCTGCATGTTTGATGCAGCTTTTTCTTCTTTTCTTGCCCCCAGTTGGGCACTTCACATGTGAACAAAGCAGAGGATGCTGGTGGGACACACCTACTTTCTGCTGTTCTTTCCTGAGGCCCACTGCTTAATTTATGAGTATATTCCCCCGGCAGAACCCAAAAAAGGAGGGATCCCTGTGCTGTCGGTCTCTTGCCCATGGCCTAGAGTACATCCTGTTGGGGAAGTTCCAGCTCTTTGGAGGCTGAGTGACAGGCAGAAACACAAGTCAGAAGAGAGGGAGGAATACAGTGCTGGGGGGGGGGGTGGTGCTAGGAAGAGACCAAGGAGACAGAGTTTCTCATACCTGCATCCCAATCACTGCATAGATAAAGAAGAGCATCACGATCAGAAGGGCCACATAGGGCAGGGCCTAGAAGGAAGCACAGAGGGGCCGTGAGACCCAGGGCCACAAGCTAGCAGGGTCCTTTCCCAGAAAGCATTGCAGTCCCAGCTGCACAGCAGTCAGCTGCTGTTTGGGAGGGAACCTGAGGGGCGGGCTCTGGCTTCCCATATCAGCAGTCAGTCAGTCAGTCAGTCTGTCAGTATCCATCTATCTATCTATCTATCTATCTATCTATCTATCTATCTTCATCTATTTGTCATTATCTATTATCTATTTCTATCAATCTGTCATCTATCACCTGTCTATCTTCATCTATCTATCATTTGTCATTATCTATCATCTGCGATCTACCTACCTATCTTATCTATCCATCCATCTTCTAGGAAAGGAACTGAGGACCTCTTCCACTGAGCCCTGGTCCCAGGTCATATTTTGATTTTAAAAGCATGCTTCAGAGTAATGGAGGAGGCATCATATTGTTTACCAAGAACAATCAAGGAGCATCCCTCCTCAGACTACAGTTATATATTTGCACAAAGAAGGAAGGGGTGATGGAAATTACCCAACAAGACCACTGTGGGAAGGTGGCAGTTACCCAACAAGACCACTGTGGGAAGGTGGCAGTTTATACCCTGCCTTTAAGCAGCCACTTTAATATAAATGAGCAGTCAGCACTACTGCCATGAAAACAGTTAATCATGACAAATGTAAAAACAATTATGGGCTCTCATGTTATTGCCCTTACTTTCCAGCTCTGGAGCCTGGACATGTTACTTAATTTCTCTGGGCCTGTTTCCTGATCTGAATGATGAGGAATGATCACACTTACACCTGGCTGGAGCTATGACATTTAAAAGGTCATAGCTTGTGAAGGCTTGTGAAATATATGACAAAATAGTATATACATAATTAGATTTCACAAATTTTACTCATTCAGGATTTCCTAAACAGAGCCATGGCCAATTTGGAGGAGGTGCTGGGAATCACCACCTTTTGCCAGATCATGGAAACCTAGCTTTCTGGTTAAGGAAAGATGCTGCCCATATACCACTAGATGGCACTGCGAGATCACAGTTTTTTAATGGATGGTGGGCTCTCTTGCTCCCTGATCAAGTCCCATTCTTCAAGGTCACCCCAGCCACTTCCCATTACAAGGAAATGTTGTGATGTCTCAGGGGTCAAGGCAGGACCAACCTAGAAACCTCCCAGTACCCTATCCTTGTGGTAGGGGAGTGGGGGTGTCTGTAGCTTCTCATTAGGGGTGGAGAGGCCAGCAGGGTGGGACATGACTATAGGAACACTGGATCTGTGTACAGCTGGGCTGGACTTTGAGGTCATCCATCAGAGAGCTTTGGGTGGCAGTATCCACAGAGCTGTGAGTTTGGAAGGGGACCCCAAACAGGGCAGGCAAGTCACCACCACAAGTCCTCTGGGCACAATCACAACTGTGAGCACATCTGGCTGGAGGCAGACTCCATGCCCGACTTGAACTTGTGCTGTCCAGGGCACGGGATACTAAGGCCTAGGTGCAAGGTCTAGGGAAGTCCAAGAGTGGGTGTGTGGGAAGAGAAGCTGGCTTTTGTGTGGTGTCTGGGAAGCACAGTTAGGAATTTCTACAGATCTTTCCCAGGAGTCTAAGTGCTTCTCATGAACTTTATACTTGGCACTCCTCAGGGCTGGCCTTACAATCCTTTATTTCTAGTAAATTCTCTGGGAAGTGTTGAGCCTTGGAGTCTGGAATCACAGATCCACTCGTATGCTCTTTCCCTTCAGAACGAGGCCAGCCAGGTGCTACCTCATTGCCATCCCACACTCACACAGCCACTTACAACAGCATGAGAGCCAGAGCCAGCCCCAGCCAGCCCGGGCCCTGAATGCTATGCTGGAGCTGTTTCTTTCCAGGCCTGCCCTTGGTGGGGGCCCTAGAGAAAGTGACTTGGAGCACTAGGTCATTCCACTTCCTGGAGCAGTGGAGGTTGTCTCTACCAGCTTCACAAGGGGGACATGGCATGGCTACCTGGAAGGACTTGATGAAGGTCCACAGCAGGGTCCGGATGCCTTCTCCACGGCTCAGCAGCTTCACCAGGCGCATGACCCGGAAGAGGCGAAAGAAGGTGATGGAGATGCGGGAGTTCTCCTCTGCGCTCTAGAACCCGTTGGCAATAGGGGGTGCAGTTAACACAGCAAGAAGGCAGGGCAGGAAAGGATCCTCTGAGAAACAGCCATTGGTTGAGAGGAGGCAGGCCAGGGTGGGGTCAGCTGCACTAGACTCTTTCCTTAGGCCCCAACTCCTGGTTTTCGAGGTGGGAGGCCAGTGCCTTAATTCCAGGTCGGCAACCTATCCTCCTCTTTCCCATAATCCCTAGCTCTTCAACTATTACGAGCAAGGAAACTGGGTCTAGAGCCACTGCCCTAGAGGCTCCTGCCCTCCTGTGGGGGGAGAAAGCAGCCCAGCAGCTCTTATCTTGTCAGTTGGGAGTGCGGCCTTGTGAGTGGAACCCCGTTCTACCCTCTACCCTCTGGATGGTGAGGACTTCCCGCCCAGCTGTCTGAAGTAGCCTCTGAGCATGCCTTGCCTTGGATGCTCAAGTCTCACTTCTCCCTGTCACCACTTTCTACTTCCCATGGTGGGAGTGGGTTGCTGTGTTATTACCGGGGCGACACAGTCCCATGTCTCACTGCAGTCTGGAGTTGCTGCCCTTTCATGGTCCTCAAGGCATGGCCTCGGATGCTGTGACCTTCCCTAGAGGTCTACAGTCTGGAGGGACTCACCACGCCAGCAGGGCAAGGCACAGGTACCCTGTGCACTGAGTCCTAGACATGGCTGGGCCTGGTACATGACCACTATGAGGTACCACTCAGGGTATCTATGGTAGAGACGTAGGCAGAGAAAGAGCCAGAGGCAGCTCTGAGACGAGGGAGGCTGAGGTGGGGTTAGAATTTCTAGGCTGCTGAGAATCTATGGCCAAAGATTCACAGCTGGTTTCTTAGTCAGGAGCCTGAGGGTGGGGACACATGCCTAGAAAGGTCTCTGGGGCAGGAGTGTTGCTTTTTGCCCTCATACCTGAGTACAAAAATTTGGCCCTCCTGCTCATGTGAGCAACTGGCTGTGTTCCAAAGCTCCAAGAGCTGCTGGGAGCCCTTCCGCCTTCCCCAAAGCTAGTGCAGCCTACCCAGCCCTGCTGGCAGCAGCACCAGGAGAGAAAGGACCCTAGAATTTCCTGTTATGGCTCCCATCCCAGGCATCCCTTGAAGGAGGGTCTTATGTTGCTTGTTCTGTCCCAGCCCTTCAACTTGTCCACTTGCTATACTTGGCAGTGTTTCTAGCTCAGGCCTTTTCTGACAGCACCATGCCTATCAGTGTCCTGGAATATTCCTTAGTGCTGAGCTCTGGGCTCCACAAGCCCTTCAGTCCTTTCTCTATGGCCTCTGGACCATCCCTGAAGGTGGGGTGGCTTTATCTCAGCTCTACCAGGAAGGGTTATATGTAATGAACTTTAGGAATATGCAAGGGGCAACAGGTTGGAGCAATGAGATACTCAACCATCAGGTCAATGACCACCTCCCAAGGGGGGCAGATTTTCCAGATCAGCCCCACATTCCATACTGGAAGGGCTCTGAAGAAAGCAAGCCAAGAGGGTTCTGGAGGGTTCAGACTCTCCAGATAGGACAAAATTCAAAAATATTTCTTATATTTTAAAATTGGAGCTACCCCAATTGCTTTAAGACGCTTAGCTGTGCCAGGCAGTGGATGGACTCACAGGTAGCGGGAACCGCTAAGGCCTGCAATGCAGGCTGCTGGTCCTACCCAGGAAATCTTTGGCTCCCTTAGCATGGGCTTCTGTTTGCCTCCTCTAGTTCTATTTTCTGTCCTTAGAAGGTTTGCTCCTTAAAGGACCGTACAGGGAGCTCAGAGCTTCTTACTATCTGCCAATCCTATCCTGTTCAAGCGAGGAAAAAAAAAATACCCGCAACAAAACAAAGCAAACACTACAGAACAAGCTTAAGCGGAGGACTTCAGCTGCAGGTGTCAAGCATTTGTGAAGCTGGCGTCTCTGGGACATCTAGGTCTGATGCATTAAAAATCAAAACAAAAAATTCCCAAGCAGCCTTTTGGCCAGCATGGGCTGCTAGGGGATCACAACTACATCTCTCAATCTATCTTTTAGGGGCTTGGGGAATCATTAGCATGGTTTGAAAGGGGGAAGCTATTCCAAGGAGCTTAAAATAAGGTAAGGCATGTCTACCAGTCAGACAAAAGGATGCTTACTCCTTCCCCAGGAGTGGTCCAGTCGGTTTGTTTTCCTGTGTCTCATATGTTACACAAAAGTGGCAATGCAATGCAATGCAATGCATTACAGTGGAAATGTAATGGAGTTGAGGAACCAGGAAGGATGTGAGACTAAGGCTTAGGGTCACAGCAGAGAGACTACCGTGTAGAGGAGTAGGGTGACCACATCTCCAGGCCGGCAGCATGCAGACCAAGGCCGTGAGAAGAGTTCTCAGTGCTGGCGGTAAAAGAGCCTCTGCCATCTTTGGTAAACCACAGCAGGAACAAATATGACTTCCATTTCAACAATGTCGTTGTTAACCAGATAAAAGACTCGTGGCCAGAAAAATAGAAACGTTTACAGTAAAGACAGACTCATATTAAGAAAAACCTCTAAAGGTTTACAGTGTGTTTTAAAATATACGTAGACATGGGGAAAAAAATGAAATGGTTTTAAAAAGACAAAGCTATCGGGCCACCCCTGTGCCATAGCAAATGACAGCTGTGCCTCTCATACAGCCTTCCACACGAAGCCCAGGAGAGGCGGGTAGTTACAGAGCTGATTAGCACCGCCTTCCCTTCTAGCTGGACCTCATCCCCGCTTTTGCCTTTTCCCTGGAGCCTTAGTCACAGTTCTCAAAAGTATCCTTCACAAATTCCCACATTAGATGAAACACAAAGTCCTTGGGAAGTTTAACAGGAAATAGCATGGGTCCCGTTCTCTCGCGGTGGATCCCGGTGACTCGCCACCCAAAGGAAGCTTGGGGAAGTAGAGGAACACCACTGTACACACACCCTTGCACAGCTCGTGTGAGCACAGGCAGGTAAGGCACACAATGGACATGGTGGCCACATGCAGTGGGAGCTGGGCTGAGCTCCCAGGGCTCTGGAAGTCGGGGTGGATAAGAAGAGGTGGCTAAGGGGGACCACAGAAGCTGGGAATGTGGTCTGAAGGGTTGTTCTTACCATAGAGGGAGAGCATTGAGTATGTTCAGCTGGCTTTAAAGAAAGGCAGACAGAGATAAGCTGTAATGAGTCTCCAACGAAGAGCCTGGTATTCTAGGTCTTGGCTAACAGAGGAACGGCACAGCGGTAGGAGAGGGCATAAGGAAACAAGTGAAAGAAATACACAAGCGTGGGCCGGCAGGGTGAGGGACACGGTGAGAACAAAGGCTGTGTGTCAGCAGGCCACATGGCCCACAAGGACCCACAAGAAAATCCTATCCTAGTCAGTGGCCACCTCCGGCTATGAGTGAAATAACTCAGCCCCAATAGAGAGGAGGAAGTAAGGCCTTCCAGATTTGTGGGTAGACTCAATTTTTGTCTAGTTTTTGTTTTCAGTCTGTTTCAAGCTAACCTTCTAGGACGTCCATTTTCTACACTCTAGCCTTCTTTATGAAGTGCTGGGCCAAAGACAAACCCTGGTTCACGTGTGCCCATCACTGTCCACGCATAAACACTAAACAGAAGAGCTCCAGGGTGACAGCCTCTCAGGTTAGAGAAAGCTGAATTCTAATTACGACTAGAGAAAATCTAAGGAGGTAGCCTGCAACTTCTCCAGAAGGAGCTTTCTCTAAAAGACCAAGCTCAGGTTGGGCATGGCCTTGTTTAGAGCTCAGATTAGGGAAGAGGAGACCCCTTGGCCATTGACATGGGAGTAGGTTTCCCTGCTTTTTAATGCTGAAGGCCTTGTACACAATTTAGGATACCATCAACAGTGTCCCAAGAAATTGCTTTCCAGGGTTAGACTGCTGAACTTGTTTGGGGGCAAGAGCTTACAGGGGCATCTCAAGACCCCTCCTCTCCCAGTTTCCCTAGTAAATTTCCAGGGAAATACCCCAACACTGGGCTTTAGCATGTAGCAGTCACACTTAACTGATCTCACCCACTGGTGCTGTAGCCTAGGCCCTCACCATCGACTTTCAGATGTTGCCTCGTGTTTTTAAGGTGCAAACAAAGAAACATGTAATGGAGTTTTTGAAGGAAAGAACTGTTCATAAATACATATTTTCTTGAAGTCTGAAAATAACTTCTTGGTAACATAGTTTTTAGCAATTAATTAAAAAAAGATTCCCATAGAGAGTTGGTTTTGATGGTTATGGGGGATGATAGAGAGAGTGAGTTGGGGAGGAGGGTGGAAGGGCCTTCTCTAGTCATTTATAAAACACCACACATTCTATGTTTGTGAGGATTGCCAGCTACCTGGCCAGTCTACATGTCTAGAGGGGATGGGTCAATAGGTTTGATTACTGGGTTGATAGGAAACACAGAAACAGATGAACAGACATATACACTCACACACACAGGGCATTTCTTGTTCAAGCATCTAAGCTTCCTTACCATCAGCATGAGGCAGCTGCCATGATGCTCAAGCCTATGTCTCTTAGTGTATCTTTTTGCTCCCCTTAATCCCCCCCCCCAGTTTGTTCAGGGCTTTTGCCCATGGATTGCTAGATAAGGAGTTCAGTGTTTCTGGAGATTTGGCAGTGGAATAGGAGAGCCATGTGGAGGCCATCTGATCTGTAGAATTGTCAGGGGCTCTGAAGTGAGGTTGTTTTGGGTTGTTGCTTTGCTCTGAGGAACACTCTAATGTCATCACAGCTACTCATCACTTTCAAGTACATTGGGTCAGCCCTTGAAGGACTTCTGTATCAATCTCATCCTAAATAAGAGCAAAAATGGAGGCAATTTAGAAAATTCACTAGCTCAGCTGGCCCCACTAAACCAGCCTTAGCCATTACAAAGAAATAAAATAGTTTATTTAACCCTCTTGAACATTGGTGATCCCTCATTGGAGGATTCATTGGAGATTCATTAGTCCTGACCACCTTCCCTCCTGATGCTCTTTTACTTGGCCATTTGTTGCATGGATTACGGCATCATCTACTTAAGCTATATTTTACTTCAAAATTTAGGCTCAGGTCTGACTATTTCTCTGGTATTTTACTGTTTTAGGATCGTGCCCTAGCTTGATAGTCCTTAGGTGGTGTCTTCACAGCAGAAGACTAGATTTCACAGTAGCTTGGGGAATGAGGGCTCTCTGAGATCTGTGTCCTAGGCTCCCCAGCCCAGGTGATGACAACTTTGCAAAAAAGACAGAGAAACTCTTGGGTAACGTTTTCTTGAGCCTTAAAGCCATACTACTCAGGAAGCTTTTGTTTGGCTGGAGTATTGTCTCTTTAGCATCTCCCACACACTGTGCTTACATGGTGTCAGAAATAACCATTCACAACAGAGGCAGGGCGTGATCATGAGTAAGTTCTGTGTGGGAAGAAGCATAGCCAGGCCAGATGCTGATCCCTAGACAACCTCACGTGATCATCTGGGTCTTCAGTACCTTCCTGGCTGCAAGTGAAACCCCCTGGTGTACTACATAGGGGGCCTGGAACCACCACTACCACTGGATGCCCACGATGCCCCAAGATAAGCAGTTTAAGCCTATGGTTATGTCTGTCTTGTTTTCTACTTTGTGAGTTTCTCATATTTGTAGGGGTGGACACATAGCAGGCAGCAGTCTCCATGCCCAGGCTTTTCTCCACTGTAGGAAGGAACTGGAGGTAGGGAAGGAGCTGACAAGCTTCATTGCCAGGGGACCAGTAAGTTGTGCCTGTGGATCTGTGCTAGAAAGATGCTGAGGGGGAAAGACAGCACCAGGGATGGCAGTGGGGGAGACCTGGAGTTAGCATCATAACCCATCCTTTCCTGAAACTAACCCGAACCTCTATGTCATCCTCCTGTTCTCTCTCCTTGTCTCTTGTCCCTGTTGGTTTGACCAGTGGATATAATGTGCATTCCATCTCTATATCTGCTCTTCCTAGAGTAAGTCCCCTTCTGACCCTGTGAGGTCCCCACCCAATGCTCTGTGTGAGCATTCCAGGAGTATCAAGCATCCCTTGGCAAAGTAAGCTTCAGCACAGGAAAGCTGCTAAGCAGGTCTGGATAGGTCAGCTGCAGAAAGTACCAGATGAGGGAGGGCCCATGAGCGGCAGAAGCCACCACCCCCTACTTTCAGTGTTGCTGTGCTGACGGACATCTCAATACATGGCCGTAGCTCTGTGGGAGTGCAAAAGTTGATTGATAGGGATGGCTTTGAATCATAGACTTGTCACCAGTCAGTTAGCTGTAAGGCTTTGGAAGACTGCTTGCCTTGCCTAGATTTCACGTGTGTGTGTGTGTGTGTGTGTGTGTGTGTGTGTGTGTGTGTGTGTGTGTGTGTGTTGTCCTGAAGTCTTGATTCAATCATGAGTCATGCAGTTTCCCTGATGACTGACATCGTTAAGGATTAGATCTTATGTCATCTCCCTTTTCCCTTTTCTTCCTAATCAGCCAAGGTCACAGAAAAAGGCATCAATCCTTAGTTTATTTCCCTGCTCTGATCATTTCTGTGGTCCAACATATTGTACCTAGTAACTCTTCCATATTTCTTCTCCTTAACTTGTCTGGAATACTCCAAGGGTTGGAGTTCTTTCCCCAATACTATTCCAATTCTCCCTGGAGTGGTCTGTCTTGCCCCTGCCTCTGTATAGTCCCCACACAAGCCACACCAGAGTCCTGTAGAGCTGAGGATGCTGAGGACCTGGGAGCTCTAGGAAAGCGACAAGGAACTTTGACCTCACCAGCCTGGAATTACAGAGGCCAGGAGCTACAAGAGACTCTCAGCTCTTCCCATCCAACTCCTACCACATTCAAATAAACTGAGGCCCAGGGACCTGGACTAATTGTCCTAAGACACCTGGTTCCTGGTGCCTAGGCTGGAAACATAATCATGGCTTCCTAATGGACAAATTGAAAATGATTCTCCACATCCATAATGTAAGAAATGAGGTCTTCTAGTATTTTCTGTTGTTCAAAATCCTTTAAGAGGCATTATGAAAAAGTGCTCAGGAAAGCTGCTGGCCACACCCTCAAACTCATTCCCATTTGGGAGATCAGGGAGTATTTTGGGGTGGGGGGGATGATGCTATCAGAACTTACATGGACAACCATGGAACACTTCTAGGAGGTATGATTTCATACTCCAGGACTGGAGAAGATGCAAGGCTTCACCAGAGTGGAGTAACACCACACTTTGACTCTACAGAGCTCACAAAGGAAGAACAGGGCAGATTTAGACAAGGTGATGCACTAGGGAGAAGGGGAGAAGCCTGGGTCTGAGATAGTCTTATGAGGCATAGTGGGGCCTAGAGTGACACTTGCAAAGTGCCTGCCTCTGTTGGGGGACACCATTCTGAATCTCCAGAGTTCAAAACTGAGGAGAAAAAGGGAATATAAATACAAAGTGGCTCTGAACATAAATGTTCCCACCTCTTCATGCCTGGTGCCCCTGACCAGCCCTCTTTGAACCTCCTTATTCTCTGTTCTTACTGCTTCCTCACTAGAATGCAAACCCATGAATGTAGAGCCATTTTGGACACAGATATTTCCCAGGTGGCTAAGGAAGTGCCTTGCTATAGATAGCGACTATGAGCATACGGAGTTGAGTGGGTACTGACCCCCAGAACTGATGAAAAGTCCATTTCCTGGGAGGGAAGGATACTCCCTTGGGGAAGGCAAAAAGGGAAAGTAGATGGATTTAAATATGTAAAATGACTGTAAGGACATTAGGGTGAATAAGAGAGTCTGTGAGAGGACAGCAGCCAGCCATGTCACAGAGGAGCCTGAGGTGATGGGTTACAGATGAAAAGCCATCTTGGATAGCTTCTGCATAGAACAGGTTTCCTGGGAATCTGTGCTTGTGATGATTCTGTGCATCTAGAGAAATATGGGAAGGCCTGGAGTGTAATGGCATCTTGTTTTGCCAGTGAACTAGAGGCATGGCTTTAGGTGTGCAGACATGGTCCCTTGTAAGAAAGAGGAGGGGGCTGGCTCACTCTCTTGGGTTGTGGTCAGAGCATAGGAAGGGCAGAGATGGCATCTGCATGGGAGGTTTCAGTCAGTAATACATGCTTTTTTTGGTAATATATGTTTTTGAGAATTACAGATTATAGTTACCCATGCTTCTTATACCTAATGATGTTATTCAGGTTCTCTATGTGCTCAGAGATGTACTCAACATCAATATTTGATCTTCAAACACTTCAAAGACCTACAGAATATGGCATTTAAATGTTTTACTAATTTAGAACTCCTTTGACACGAGACACAATTGCTCCTGATAGCACCAAGCTATTCCCAAGAGTATGATGGGTACCAATGACACTCCATTTGGAGTTAATTTTCTTCTTGGTGATACTAGGCTTTTGGACAAAGAACTGCTCCTGCCTTGACTGCTAACATTGGACACGTTGTCCTAACTGGGCTAGCAGGAGATAAACATAAAGAGACTACTTAACCTTGTCAAGTCAGGGTAGGACAGTCTTTCAGATTTTCCCCGCTTCTGAGATGGTCTGTCAGATACTCTAGGCCTTAGCCAAAGTTGATTGCCCAGATGTTACTATGAGGCCTTGGGTGACTGTCCAGGTAGCCTGCTGTTTCTGTCATTACTTGCACCTTTAAGAAGTCACCCACTTACACTTTCTGTTTACCCTAGTAATGTTATTTTCCTTCTCAGGCCTTTGATGAGGTTGAAGACTAGATAGCCATAACTAATATCCTCTCACATTAGCTAGAGCATATTAGGTATACGACTTAGACTTTCCAGAATAGGACAGCTATCAGAGTAATCTCTGTTACATGCCATTACCCTGGGATTGGACATTTAGTATGTGTTTCTTGCTTAATGTTGCTCTTGCTGATTGTAGGTGTTTTTACCTTCTTTTCTCCTGGACTATACTTGATATTTGTTATCACTGTATATAGTTTTTGAGGCTTAAAACCCTCTTATTTAGACAAAAAGGGGAAATGTAGTGGCATCTTGCTTTGTCAGTGAACTTTCAGTGGTGGACACATCCTAAAGGAGTGGCTACAGGTGTGCAGACATGACTCCTTATGAAGAAGAGGAGAGGTTGGCTCACTCTCTTGGGTTGTGGTCAGAGCATTGGAAAGGCAGGGACTGCATCTTCAGGAGCAGAAAGACCGTGGCAGTTATTTACTATTTTCTGTGTAAGTGCTTCCCTAATCAATACCTATTTATCATTTATCTTGGGGCTTGTAGATTCATTTAAACCCCACCTTCACTGGAGAAGGTGTTAGGGATGCAGGATTTCCTGAATTTTCCCTGACACTGGCCTAGCAGCAGATCATCACCTCAAAGCAGAAGAATATGCACATGGTATTCTTATCATGCAGCTATCCTACTGGCTGCTGCTGGGTGCAGGGTTCTCTGGCAACACGTGTGGCCACAGGCCTGCCAAGGCCCTGGGGTGTCAGTTTTGGTGCCCTGCACTTCCTCAGATGGCTGTACCTGCTGGTCAGTTCCACGAGTCTTATTAACAGCATCTGGAAAAGGGGGCATTCCTGGTGTGTGGAGGCTACATGTTATGGGCATACCAAGGAGATGGTCTAGTTAGAGGCAGGTGTTTTGATGTGATTTACTTGGATGCTTTCGGTTTTACTTCATAGACCTTTACTGTTGACACAGGGGTTTTAAATCGGTGTTTTTACGTGAGCAAACATCTATACACATATATTTTATATAGGGAACTGTAAATTTGCTTCCTCTTTGTTTTCATTGAAAACAGAAATAGATATATTATGGCAGGATGAGAGCTATGGCTTTTGATAGCAGTACAAGAACCCCAGAGGAACTCCTGGGGCTACAATGGTTCTTCAGCCATCATGGGAAGCAGCCGGCTGTCCTTCCCCGTGTTTTCCCACTGCAGATCTCTGCATTGATTTCTGTACCAGTCTCCACTACTGTCTACAGACAGATGGCAAAGTCCATGCCTCAGTCTTTCTTTTAACTGCTCTCCCTGCAGGACCCTCAGAGCAGCAGAGTGAATGACATCTGTGCTAAGTGTAGAGTCTTTAAGTTCTGAGAATTAAATTACAAGAGGAATATAACTTAGGGTTCACACACTGCATTCTGGGAGTCTACTCAGAAGGTCGCAGCCATTGTGGAAGACTGATTTTGTTTTTAATTATCTGAGGGTTACCTCAGAAGGAGTCAAGCCTAAGGGTTTACATACATGTACACACACACACACACACACACACACACACACACACACACAAACACACACACACTGAGACAAAGACAAACTCCAGTTCTTAGAGACAGAGGGGCAATTGAGGCTGGAGCTGGATAAGCAAGGGCATAGGCAAGGGGAAAAAGGAAGGGATGTATGTAGAATGTAAGCTCCTCCTTCTTAAGCACAGTGGCTACACAGAGGAGAATCAAACTAGTGAAAGAACATGTCAGTTCAACATCTTGAGAATGGGCCAGGCTGCATGGGGGTAGTGGGATGTGTAGAGGACAGCAAGAGAATTCCAAACATCTAAGATCATGTCCCAGAATCAGGTCTCTGTGCTATCATTCAATGGTTCTATCCATCCATCAAAGGTTTATGCAAGCATTATCAAGTCTCTTACTTATGGAAAAATAATGACAGAAACCGAACAATACATGTTAAGGACTAACAGCAAGAGAACTTGCTTATAGATAAAGAGAGGATACTCAAACATGCCAGGTAACAAGAAGACATGTGCAAGAACTGTATAGAAGGAGGCAGCTCTGGGGAGGAGAGGGAACAGGGCTGTGGTTGTGGGGCCTGCCTGAGGCCAGTGAGCCAGGGGCAGGTTATGAAGGATGAGGGGAGGGACAGCAGGCAGGTGCACAGTCCACTCTCTATGATGAGTTCATATGGATATGAGGCTCTTACATGGATCCTGTTTCCAGGCAATGGAAAGACAAAACCCACCCAAAGCTCTCAGTAAATCACCCGGCCACCAGGCTCTTTACTGTTCCCAGAGATGGAGGACAAGAAAATCCCCACGCCATCAGTACTTCTCTCCCTCAAAGTGTCTGGCATGGGATACTGATGTCAAAGCAGACATCAGAGTTTGTTCAATGTGAAGACAATCAAGTAGTTCCTGGGAGAGGGTAGGCCATGGCTGGCAATGGAGGCAAATTCCTAGCCTCAAGTCTGGGTGTTCTGCTTTGAGGGCACACCTTTTAGGATGTGATGGGGATGGAAAACCAACAGGAGGAGAGGCAGTATCTGGAGGTGAAGTTTTGGTTTAGGAAAGGTTGTCCAGAACTTGTGAACCCCTTCATTTTCTCACTCCACAATTCACATAGCTGCACCCTCCTATACAGTGTGAGTCATGCCAGGCTGATTATAAAGGGAGAGAGAAAAAGATGCAGCAACCAACACTCAAAAGGAAGTCTTAGTGCGTTCCAAAGATTAAAAAAAAAATTTAAAAGAAATCTCCAAACAAAGCAATAAGAAACAATTTTGAACCAATTTAAATAAATTTTTAAGAATTAAATAAAAATAAGGAGGTGGGACAGCACAGAAAATAAAAATGAAAGACAAAAATAAAGCAGGGAGAAACAAATGGATGTTAGAGCAGGCGGGGTCAGCTGGGTCACAGACACCATGTACTTACGTGTACCTCGGTGATTGCTATATCAACAATGCTACCCACAACAATCAAGGCATCAAATGTATTCCATGCATCACAGAAATAGTGCTGCATGAGGCAGAAAAGCCAGGAAAGAGAGAAGGGGACAAACCAACAAAGGAGGAGAAAACAAAACAAAGGGAGGGAAATGAAAAAAAAAAAAAAAAAAGAGGCATGAAAGAAAGGAGAGAAGAGAAAAAATGAGAAAAGAAAGTGGTTACGTGGGTATATTACATCTCTTACCACTCTACAGTTCTGGCAGCTCAAGCCTGGGCAACCCGGCTTTCGCAGGGTCCAGAGGCCTGACAAAAGCTAGGTTAGTTCCGAGGTGGGTGGGCGACAGCCACCCGGAAGGCAGCCAGTGTTGGCCCAGCCAACGTGCAGCCTGTCCCATCCGCTCAGCTCTGCGCCCTTGGGCCCAGCGCAGCCAGGACAAGTGGGAAAAAAAAGGAGAACGGATTTCTGCTTTTTTTCCCCTACAAGACGACGGCGGGTTCAATAAAAAGCATGACTGGAGGTGGGTAAAACCAGAAATTAAAAAAACATAAAGAGAGGTAAACAAAGAGTGAGAGAGAGAGAGAGAGAGAGAGAGAGAGAGAGAGAGAGAGAGAGAGAGAGAGAGAGGAGTGCAGGAGGCAGTAGAGGTGGAAGGGGCTAGGGCCCCTGGGGAGGGCAGAGCGGTACTCACATTAGTTTCACTGAGAATGACATCAATTATGCTCCCAATCACGATGAGGAAGTCAAAAACATTCCAGGGATCACTAAAGTAACCCTACATGAGGGAGGGAGGGGCAGGCAGGATGGGGATTAAAAAGGAGTATTAGACAGACAAGAACAGAGCAACATCACCATCAGAATCACTGTCCAGGCGCCTGAGTGTTGCTGTTGGGAGTTCCAAATGTCAGCGTCTGTCAGAAGCCTGATTGGGTATGAGCAGCAGAGAGACATACAGTTCAGCCCTCCTGTCCTGCCTCTCGTGGGTCACATGGTCCGCATTCTTTACCTCCTCCACAGAGGACCCTTCCCCTTCAGGGCAGAAGAGGCCATGGGCATAGGGACAACTGTAAGTAAGACACAGTGGTGCAGGGTGTGGCTGGGTTCTACTGTTTATGTGTCATCGCCTCTAGTACATAACATACAGTTGTAATAGCATATAGGATATGGTAAAGGCCCCGCACACCCTCAGCTCTCACTACAAGGACCTATCACAGGGATGGAAGTCAGTGGCTGATGTCTTGCGGTTGACAGGACTGGAATGCAAGCTCAGAGACAACCAGAGGACCAAATCACTCCAACAGTGTCCACAGTGAGCTGAACCCTATATAGATGGAACGGAGTTTAGCTTCTTTCCTGCACTGGACATGGCTGTCCTTCTCAGAGCAAGTTTGCCTTGTAAAAGCTTTCCTAATGGGATCGAAGTGTCTCCTGATCTAGGAGGTCTCACTAGACAGCACCCTTAGGGCTCCTTGACATAAAGTCTCAGCAAAATGAAAATGCTCCCAAAAGTGATGAGCATTCCCAAGGACTTAAGGACTTCCCTGGCAGGGTTAGTGGAGGTGGGACTGGGAGGTGGGTGGGGCTACTGCCTTCTTAGAAACAGAATAAAGGTAGGAGAGCCTTGTGGAGGAGAGTTAGGCTCAGAAGGGAAAGACCAGGCTCCCAACTTTACTAGTCACCTGTATACATGGTTCCCTTGACTTTCCCCTTACTCACAAGAGGGAAGAGATATGCCGCCATTGAAGGCGTTTTGAAGGACATGGACAGTTGTGTGGCCAGGCCTCCAGAATACCCAGAGGGCCGGGGAGACTCCTGGGTGGGCAGCTGCCTTACTAAGAGCAGTTTGCATTCTCAGGTCTTGATTACTGCCTCTGTGGGAAGTGTGGCAGCTTAAAGTGCCATGTCCTGTCCCCCGACCCTACAGAGCACAGAGCCATAGCCCAGGAAACCCCAATAACAGGACAGTCATGTGCCCCTTAGAGGGATGTAGGGGCCTAGGACCAAGGAGACCTGTTTTCTTACAGAGAGAGAGAGAGAGAGAGAGAGAGAGAGAGAGAGAGAGAGAGAGAGAAAGGAAAGGAAGAAAGGAAGGAAGAAAGGAAGGAAGAAAGGAAGGAAGGAAGAAAAAGAAATGACATTCGCTCCATTTTTTCCCCAGGCATGCTCTCCAAAGGGGAAGATTAGCTCTGCCCCCACGTTTGCCTGGCAGGGCCCCTGGTCCCATGATGGGAGCTCTCTAGAGAGGCTTTGGAAGCAGGAGGAGTGTGTGCAGGGAGTTTCTCAGCTCTCTTTTGCATTTTTTATTTTTTTATTTTTTACTCACAAGAGCTGAGTCTTTCTCCTTTCCTCCTTGCTCTACCCAGCTCCCTAAATTGTCTGGCTTCCCAGACTTCTCCTTCCACAGTAAACTACAAGACAGGCTGGCTTAAGGCTATTATTCATAAAAGAGGTCAGGCCCCAAGGAAAGGGGACTCTAAGTTCCCAGGCATTTCTGCCCAAAGAAAACCTCTGTTGCCCCAGGAGGCTTTGGGCAGCCAGTCCGGGGCCAAGGCTGTCCAGGTCACAGGTCAGATGAGGGTCAGCCTGTGCCAGGGCTCTCTTGCTGGCCTCCTGGAGCAACGCCCTGACTATCTCAGGCGGGCCTTCTCTTTTCTAGTTAAGCCACACACTCTAAGCAGGAAAACCCAGTGCACTCCTAGGTTCTTATACACCACTCAGGGTAGGAAGGGGGCACTGATTTGGGGAATTCTACATATGTGTATGCTTAAAAACTAGATCTTGGAAAATGCCAGAGGCCGTCTCTAAATGTGAGTTGTTTGTTTAGGAATAGAGCTATTTCAGAAGAAACACTGAAGTGAAGAGAAGGGAGAGAAGGGAGAGAAGCTGGGCCAAAAGTGACACTGTAGGATGCTCAGCACCAACCTAGAAAACGTGGCAAGCAAACGTTATTGGGGTATGGAACGGAGGAGAGAGGAGGGTGGGAGTCGCAGTTTTCGCGCAAGGCAGTTGAGCTGGAGTCTCCCCATCCACCAAAGACCTGAAACAAATGGGTAAATCGGCCATGTCTGCGATACGGCTGGGTGGGGAGAGAGGAGGAGGAAAGTGAAGAGTGGGCTGCACGGTGAAAAGCAGACACACACACAGTTAATCTGCTGGTATGCACCAGGGGAAGGGGCTGGGGTTTAAGGGGCGACCCTGTCAGCCTCCAGCTGTGCATCTCTGCTCACCCCTTCTCTTGGATGCATTTTTTTTTTTTTTGTACAGAAAAAAAGAAATGACTGTTAGTTATCACCCAGCCATAGCTGCTTATCATTGGACTGGCTAGGCCTGTGGGGATTAATCACACCTGGTTGCCTGTCCCAGGCTGTATTGCCAGGGCTTTTGCTTGGTTTCTCTGTCCTCTGGAAAATTACCTTGTGGAAACCATTGGGTGCAAAAACCAATTAGTTCCCTTGTTGCCAAAGGCTCTGGTGGACCCAGTCCTGGCAGATACATGCACAGCTGGAATGCAAAGGTCAGAGCAGAAGGGTGGAGAGTCCCTTTAAGGGGCAGCTTTTCACCATGACCTATAGACCCACATTCCCATCCCTCTGTCCCTTGGCCCATGACTCCTCCCATCTGGACCCGGAGGATGGCTTCAGAGCCAGCTTCCGGGTCTCCATCCCCTTGGTTGGTTTCTTCTTCCCACTATTCCAAGAACCATAACCTTCCACTTGCCCCACACCAGTTCCAGAAACAAAGCCCATGCCCAATTTGGTAATAATTAGGTTGTCCAAGGAGACACCTGGCCAAGTCCTTATATGAGGGGTCTGGAGGAAGATTTCTTCTATATGCTTTGGCATGTAAAAGTCAGGTGTTTTCTTTCTTATGCACATGCATGCATGCACACGCACCTACTTCCCCCACCTTTCATTTTCCCATGAGTGATTGGGGCTAGGGGATGTAACAGAGAGGAAGGTGGGGAAAATCACAAACATTTTCTTTTTATGAAATCCATTTGACTAGGACAAGCTTATAGTTGCCACCAGTCTTCTCTTCTGGTGAGCGGGTTGCCTATAGTTGGAACATCAGGGCCATAGAGCATTGTGTTGGCGCTCTTAGAAGAGGCAAACCAAACCTCTGAGTACCCAACTCAGGGAAGGTGGTGCATACATAAAAGATGGTGCGTCTACAACTAGAAGACTTCTCTTGCTACCTGCAACATTCTACATGCTGAATGGTTTCGCTTTTCAAATAACCGCATCTTGGGATGAAGTCAGAATAGGGGTCTCCCCTCTGGCCTCGCTGGGGAAAGTTGGCATGGCCCCTGGGTCTAGAGTCTGATTATCATCACTACTTAACCTCCTCCCACTGGGAGAAGCTGCTGAATAATGGACAATAATTTGCTTCACCAAATCATTTTCAGGAAGGAAAAATGGCTACAAAAGCTTCATGCTATACAAGAATTTTGGATTTTCTTCTTTTTTGGATTAGCTCTATCTCTAACCATCAGTGTTATGGAAGACCTACCATTTTGACAGAGGCAGTGGTAGTAACAGTATGATCTCTGGCTATAGTTGGTTTAAATCCTATTCTGCCACTTACTAACTAGGTACTGTGTGTGTGTGTGTGTGTGTGTGTGAGTTTTCTATTATCATGACAAAATATATGTGGGAATCAGTAAGAGAGAAAGTTGATTTTGGCACATGGCTTTAGTTAACGGGGCATTGTTTCTGCTGCTTTGGATCTCTGGTGAGGTAGCTCATGGTGGTAGAATAGATCTCTTAATCCCATGGTGGTTGTAGAGATTTTAAAGAAAATGGTCCCCAAAGGGAATAGCGCTATTGGGAGGTGTGTCTTTGTCAGAGTATGTATGACCTTGTTGAGGGAAGTGTGTCCCTGAGAAGATGGGCTTTGAGGTCTCAGATATATGCTCAAGCTTCATTCAATGTGATACCATACTACTTCCTGTTGCCTGCAAGATGTAGGACTCTCAGGTAGTTCTTCAGCATCATGTCTGCCTGCATATCACCTTGTTCCACCATGGTGATAATGGACTGAACCTCTGAACTGTAACCGAGACACCCCAATTCAATGTTATCCTTTAAGAGTTTTCATGGTCACAGCAACAGAAACCCCAACTAAGACATTGGTCAAGCAAAAGAAAACAGAAAGGGTTTCTACACTTCAAAGACACTCCTTCAAGGACCTACCTTCCATCAGGTCCCTACTTCTAAATGTCCAATTGTATCTCAATAGAGTCAAGATCCAAACTATAGCATTAAGAGTGAGCAAATACCTTAAATTTTCTGTGCCTGTTTTCCTATGTAGAAAAATGGGACTGGTCATAGTGTTAAGGTGAGGTTTAAAGATATCATACACACATCATACTTAGACCTGTGCCTAAGTGGAGGGAGCTCTAAATTCGTATTTGCTATGGTTATCATTAGCTAGAGTTAACCTGGCTACTTTATTGTTAAGCAGCATCTACAAGCTCAGATTTCTTGTGGGGATGAGCAAAGGGAAAATCCAAACCAGTCACCGAGAAGCAAAGCATGTAAAAGAGGAGGAAAGAAGCTTGGGCTTGGCAAGGCCCCTTCTGCTAGTCTTGAGATGTTCTTGAGTGCAATCAGGCTGGCACAGTTGACCCTGTGACAGGATGCAGGTTGTCATGGTTTAATTCTTATTAGACTCCAGTTCATACAGCTAGTTCACCGTTAAGTTCTTAGGAGGCAGCTATTCAAACCAGAGGAGATGTGGTCTTTCTTGAGCTACAAAGCTGTGTGAGAAGAGTAC